AGGACTTCCTTCCAATCCCACCTTATATTCAACATCATCTTTACATGAAGACCAGCCTTTGGTGTGGTTGGTGTTGGTTCATTTCACTTATCTCACGATCTTTTACATTCCACATTTTTTGTGAAGTATCTACTTTTCATTGCTCATCATAATTTGTTTTAAAAACAGAACATTTTTGTTACATTTAAGTATAAAATTGCATGTGAAAATGCACTGAATGTTTTTTTGCTGGAACCCAAACATCAAAATGACTACTGCTGCAAATGATTTTCAATGCTTTATTTGGTTATTTTCAGTTTGTTGGCTATCTCCTGCATAATATAACATTGTTCTTAGTTTTCAGTTGAAGTTGATAGTGAATCAACTTCAACTTGTCTATCCAACCATGTAGCCTCATCCGGTGAGAAGTCTCCAGCACAAAACTTTGCAAACCACTTTCAACATGTTTGATCAGTTACACCACCTTCCCCATACACTGCACAAATGATGTGATGGAGTGAGAAGATATTGCCATGCAGGGGGGGAAAGGACTGATGAAGCAATGATGAAAGGTCAGTTAGATCTGACGTTGCAGTTAGGGTTCAATGTTTCAAGTCCCAACTATGAGTTTTACCAGAAAAGAATCTTTTATATTATCAAGCAGTAAGATAAGTGCTTCAATGTCTATGGTTATTTTTTTTTTGTTTTATTCTTTGCTAATTGATTTATGCTTGTCAATAGAAACTTTTTGAATCTCCCTTTATGTTTAGCAATTAATTAGGCACTAATAAAATATTTTTTAAGTGCTAAAAAGTTATAAACTTGGTTTGACAAATCATCAAAAATAATAACAGTAATTTTTGTGTTTTTTTTATTAATTAAACTAATTTATATTATCTGTATTGATATGTATTTTGCTACTTGAATAATACATTCAGCAGTAGCTGAATATAATCTGTTTTGTATCTTGTACATTCATCATTTTCTAACATCATCTGTACACTCATCATTATGTAAGAAATTAGGAATTAATTTTGACTCATATGCATAAAAGTTTATATTAGAATAAAACAGGGCTTTGGAGTCAAAGTCGTGGAGTTTTGGTGTTTTAGTCGGAGTCGTCAAAAAATCCGCCGACTCCGACTCCCTTTTTACTTACCAACTTGTTATGTATATGAAACGGAGTCAGATGGTCGGAGTCGGAGTTGGAGTCGATAGATTTTTACACGACTCCACAGCCCTGGAATAAAATAAAAATAATGAATTTAAAAATAAAAATTAAATGCATTCTGTAATAATGTATTTCCTCAATTAAATCTTGGGATTTAAATAAACCCTGAAAAATAAAAATGATATTAAAAATAAGCCCCAGGTTGAAAAACATGAAAACATGTAATACTGTACTGTATAGTATAATATAGTTTAGAGCAGCAGTTGACAACCACTAGATTAGAGCGACAGGCAAGAAATTTAAACTGAAATTCTACATCTTCAAATTGTATAGAGTTGGATTGTACTTTGTTTTGGAAATAAAATTATAAATATTGTCAAATAGTGAGTGTGGGAAAGATGCAGTCAAGTTCTTAAGTCGAGAGTTTACCAACTAAAGGTTAATTAGGAAAACATGAATTGGAGATGGTGAGTTTGAACCAGAAGATAGTAGTCATGATTCTGACAATGACATTGAAACTGACATAAATGACAGCATAGCAAATGAATTGGAAGATATTGAATCTGATTAACTATAAAAAAATAAAAATGCAGGCAATAAACTGTTTTGATAGTTCTGAAAATGTACAAATAACTTAATTAAAATATTTCTTTAAATTTTCACCCACTCATCTCTTATTGCAAGGTAATAAACCCCAGCTTCAGAAAACCCTGGGGATAAGTACAGTGTTAAAATAAACTCATTAGGGTTTAATTAAGTAACTACGATATTTACATTGCTATATTACACGTAACTTATTGCTCAATTTTAATTAAATTAATTTATTCTCGTTATTAAAATAACTTATATTCTTATTTTTTTTTTTATTAAAGGTTAAAATAATGAAGTTTAAATAATTAATAAATATCAAGATTTGAATAAATTGTGAGTATTTTGCATGACTTTTATGTATTGAATAATTTGAAATCCAAACCATTAACAATTCAACCATTTAGGTGATATGACTTAATGTAGAAAATTAATGTTATGAATAACAGCTTAAATGCTATTAAATGGTGTTAAAATCATATGAATTAGAATTTGTTTATAAATTTTATTGTAAATAATTTCTGTAGTCAGTGTGGATAGATTCTCACACAAACTGTCTTTTGACATTAAATATTTTTATTAGCAAAATAACATGCTGGTACTTTCAACAACACAATTGCTTCTAAAAAAAGAGATCATCATAATTATACTGTCAATCATTTTTCAGCCATTGCACTATGTCAACGTTGCAATTACAGCCCTGGTATGAAGAGCATATCTGTACCCTTCTATGCGAAGCCTGATAGCAGAAGAATTAAAGCTTATCAAATCGGCAGTTCTAAAGGCAGGTCATATCTTAGCCAAATTCAGTTACATTAACCTTAGGTATTGTTTTATATGGTTTTCTTTGTGTTTACACGCCGTCCGTGACGCACTTAAGACCCCCCGTAAGACAGGAATGCAAACACTTACTCTGAATACTTTATTCAGGGTTATACTTGGACCGGACGATCTCCAGTCGCATACATTAAACATGGCCGTCTGTCTTGCACGTGCCGCTCTCTCTCTGGTGTTGCCAGATCTTACCGTAACAGGTATTAAGAGCTTTATTTCCAATTTCTACTATGGCTGTTAACAAAGAGAAAGTTTGTACACTGCTTCCATTGACTATGTGCAATTTCATTGTTTAGCTAGACTTTGTTTTGCTTATTATATGTGGTGCAATCAAAAAGTTTTGAGACTGAGCCTGTAGCAATGCAAGGGAGTACTGCACACTCATGAGCAAGTAGCTAGAGGGCATGCAGTATTCATGAGTTAGTTTGCAAAGTGACAACATGCTGTGATTGGAAGGATCATTGGATAACCATCAAGGACATTGTCACCAAGGTCAATGTGTCATATGGAACAGTTCAGGTGATTTGATGTCTAAATTGAATATGCATTACATTGCAGCAAAGTTCGTATTCAGACTACTAAGCCCCAAGCAGAAGGCACACTGCCTGTAAGGATGTCTGTCAGCAAGCTTGTGTTGACCCAACCTTTGCTTCTGAGAGCATTACTGGTGATGAGAGCTAGGTCTATGGAAACCATACAGCAGTCTTTGCAACGGAAGAGCCCACTGGAGGAAAGTTAAAGCAGGTTGAAGCACAACCAAAAGCATGCTCATTATTTTCTTTGACATTTGTGGGATTGTTCATTGAGAATGTTTCCCTGTGGGCTAGATAGCAAATTTTGAGTTTTCTGCAATGTTCTAAGGCATCTGAGAGTGGACATTCAGTGCAAAAAACCTCTACTGTGGTATAATGACAATTAAGTGCTCCACTATGACAGTGCTCCCTCTCACATGGCACTGAAAACATGCATGTTTTTAGCATGCATCAAGACCTTTATTGCTTTCAACCCCTGTTCTTTCTGGTTCTGGGTTCCTACAAGTTCTTGTTCCAAAAGGTGAAATTGAAGTTTGATTGTTGCCATTTTGACCTGGCAGATAAAGACCATCAGCACAAATTGCAGATGGTGCAGATGGTACTTGATATCCTTCAAGAACAGGACTTCCAGGGACCATTCCAAGCTTGGCAAAATGCTGGAATTAGGGCATTGATTCAATAGGAGACTTTTTGAAGGTGATAACCATCAAAGTTAAATAAAGTACATTGCTTTCTTTTTATATGTGCAATATCAAAACTTTTTGATCACACCTTCATAGCTTTGCCATATTTACACAGATTCTTGTGTAACAATATAGACTAATACTGTAAGTATTAGAGATCCAGGGTATATAAGGTTCTTTTTAAATATAGACATGCCATCTCTAGCTACATAAATATAAGTGCTGTTGCTAGCCAACCAAATGGCAGAACATTCAGATGACATTAAACGTAAGAGGTATAACACTAAAATTGTCAAGATGATCATAGCTATGAGCCCTTATGGTCAGGGGCATCCTTAATGCATCAACATAGGGGCTGCAGTGTACCTGTTATCTGGAAAGATTGTATAATTCAACAAACAATATACAAGGTCTGTTCAAAAAGTATCGGACTTTTTTTTTTTCCGTGTAAACCAATGATGCGCAAGAGGCCTCCTTCGGTGGAGTTGTGGAGGGGACAGTCATGCACAGCCCTGAATTTTTTCCCGCCTGCAGGAAGCGTCAGTTGTTGGCAATCGGCCTATGAGTGAGGTCATGTAGTGCGCTCTCGTCGGATTCCACTAAGCTGGAAAATGACTGAACAATGTGAGCAGCAATAGTACATCAAATTTTGCCAAAAACCTTGGCGATACCCGAGTGTAAACCATTTGCAAGATTCAGCAGGCTTTCGGGGACGATCCTCGAGGCCAAAAAAAGTGCGGCAGGTCCGCAGCAATATCAAAGGTCATGTTGACAGTTTTTTCGACTCTCGTGGGGTGGTGTGTCGTGAGTACGCACCACAAGGCCAAACCATCGCAAAGGAGTACTACCAGGAGGTGCTTCGTCATCTTTCCGATACAGTGCGACGCAAACGACCGGATCTGTGGTCGATCAAAACTTGGCAGCTCCATCGTGATAACGCATCCGCCCATTCTGCGCATCTGATTTGGGCTTTCGTTGCCAAACACAATACTCCTGTGGTTCGTCACGCTCCGTACTCTCTCCACATGGCTCCGTGTGACCTTTGGCTATTTCCCAAGCTGAAAATGCCGCTAAAAGGAACCCGAATTTAGTCAAGAGAAGACATCGTGCGGAATCCGACAGACCGGCTGATGGCCATTCCAAAAGATGCGTTCCAGCAGTGTTTCCAGCAATGGCAGGAACTCTGGGAGAAGTGTATACATTACCAAGGAGACTACTTTGAAGGGGATTAGGATTTCGTACCTCAAAGTCAATAAATTGATTTTTTGCCGACCAAAGGTCCGATACTTTTTGAACAGACCTTGTATGCATTAACTCTATACTAGAACTACCTATCTATGGGTTTCATTGTTTAAATAGTGATGACATAAATATGTTTTGTCCACTGAAAATTCATTCCCTTATGTAACACAGTTTTGGTTTATTAAATGTTTACTTTCCAGTTATTTTTATTTTTTTATTTTTCATACATACATCTTATTTTCATATAAGGTGCATTTATTTGTTATTTGAATTCTGTTACAATTTGAATTTTTACATTGTATTCTAATTTGGAAACAATTGCCTGAGGAAGACAACAATGTGTCATTGAGAATTTGCTAATAAAAACATTTTAATACCAAAAGACAGTTTGTATATGACTCTTGACATCAAATACATTGGTGATGAGTGCATTCCTAGTCTACCATAGTCAGTTTTAAGTTATTCATTATAAATGTCTAGAAAATAATTTTGAATCAATAGAAAAATCTAAACATTAAGAAAATTCATGATTTCTTATAATTTTGTATCCAGTTTAAAAATTTCTTGTTTCATATAAAAATGAGCATAACAAAGGAAGATACCTTTCATCAGATGTTGCAGACCTGACAACCAGGAAAGACAGTGAAATCAACTGTAATGGACTGAATGATGGTAGAATAGAAATGTACTTTGGCTCATATTTTTTGTGGACTAATCTGTTACAGTTGATTCTTCCATATGACCTTCATACTAAATGAAAATTAAAAACTCTTTTAAGACAGAAAATAATTTTAAAAAGTATGAATGCAAAGGTAAATTTTATGCTAATATTAATGTTTAAAATGTTAAAAAACTGCTGTTTTATTCATTATCAGTACATCAATATGCTATTCTTCTCTAACTGCACTTACGAATAAATAACTAAATGTTTAAGGTACATGCTGTTAGTGTTAGTGCAATGTCATTATATATATATTATGACAAAACAGTAATAGCATATTATATAGATATATAGCCATAAAATATTGCAAATCCACAATATACCTCAACAATGTGTCAAAATAAAATTTTATGTAACTTATTGCATTCTCAAAATCAATTAAAATATCAAAAATTTAATTAGAAAAAAAATGGTAAATTCAATTTGTTTCTTAAGCCAAAGAGCCTTTGAAAATTTTCTTATCAATAGATTCCTATTTGAAAGTCATATACATAGATAAAAATTTAATAGTAACAGTTAAAGAATTTATTTTAGAAACTTTTCCATAATTTTCAACGTTGTCATTCATTGACTCAATAAATATAAATATTTTTACGACAAATTCTTAAGAAATTTTTAAAATAAACTTAACTATTAGTTTTTTAATGGTATGATAAACATTTTTTGAATCTTGACTTAAAGTAATTTTTTTAAATGGAAACGTACAGATAGCTTTATTCAAAAACGTTTTGAATTTATTATTTACTCAAAAATTAATGAAATTAAGAATGCTTCTGTTAACAAAATTACTGTAAAAATAATAAATATATTTTTATTAAAATAAAGTTTTAATATACAGTATATATTATCATCATGTATATTGTATAATGTGTTATTTAATTATTATATTATATATAACATATTATCATTTAATGAAACTTTGCACGTTTCATTAAATATTGATAAATTTGTGTCGATGTGTTTGAGTAAATCATCATGCTATTCGTACAGATGCATACAAATTATTTAATTTGGCAGTGTTTAGAAAACAAATGTTAAATATCTCAACATTATTTATAAATTAATCTGTATATATTATTGAAGAAACAATTTTCTATATATATTTAGTATATTAACTTGTATAGTAGTAGTATGAAATAAAGTTCTTAGCATGTTAATTATAGAATTACAAATTTTTTTGCATGTTTTTCTTAATGCAAATGACTTGAATATCTACTTATACGGTCATTTGTTTCTGATTAGCTTTGCAAGGAGGGATGTTTCCACACCAGGTAGCACAACGTAGACACAAAGGAAATGCATTGTAATTGAGTGTAATACAGTTGAGTATCACGTTATATCCTCTGCACTTCAAAAGAAAAAAGCAGCTGGGCATGTAATTTATGCCATAATTTTTCCAGCTTTAACGTGGAATAGTACATTTATTTTCTATTATTCATCTAGATGAATACTAGAAAATGCTTTTGCTTTCTGCTGCATATTAAAGAAAATATATTTTATATTCATTTTTTAATAATGTTTTAGTGTATTACTACTTATGAACACATTTTTTATGACTTCATTAAGTATTTATTAATAAGATAATTGTAGTTTATAGTTTATGTTCAGTATTATGTCATCTGGATAAATAGGTTGGGATCACTAAGACAGAATTATTCTTAAGAAATGAGATTTGTTCACCAGGAAACAAGTTAGAATTTTTCTTTTAAGAAATAATAGAAAATACTTTCTAAAATATTAATTCCTAATAATTGAATTATTTTCAGGGATAGATTATATTCACATAACAGAGCATGGCTTTATTGTATTTATTAACATAATATTATAAACAAGGTTTTCCAAAAAGAATGCTTTAGAAAAACAGGGTCTATCTGTTGTCATTCCTCCCATTGCAGCTGCAATTCTACAGCTCCTGTAGGTTACTTGTGTTGAACAATGATGAGTTATTCTTACTTTGTGAATGGCTGAACACAGTCCACTGTTGTAAGTCTCCATTTTCACTTAAAGTGCTTCTCAGAGGTAGTAGACAGGATATTTGAGTGCAAAAATAGAAGATGAAACTTTGATGATAGATAGTTACTCTATCAATTGATGTATATAGCACACTTCTTGGATAATAATTAACATAATTATGATAATTTAAAACGGTAGCATTCATTTTGGAAACCTTGAAATGAATCTAATATTCATGGTAATTAAATAGCTTTATTGCATTAATTATTATTATTATTATTATTTTGATTTGTTTATGGAATAAAACACCACATCATCAATGTTAACAAAAGAAATTTTTCTTAAAATTGATCCTGTTAAAACTCTTAATCTTGTAAATATGATTATTTTTCTAATACTAATTCAACTTTAAGTCTATCAACTGTTTTTGAGTTAGTTTCTTCAATAGCTTATGTAAAGTAACCGTTATCGTTAATAAATTTATTTATTATAATGACTTTATTAATGATAGACTGAAAAACAAATAATTTATGATAATATTAAGACAAATATTTTGTAAGAAATAAGATCTTTAGTGGTGCACTCGCAATTTAATATCAGGGAGCCCAATCGAACAGAAAATGTTTAATGTGAAATTCAATAAAATTCCCGCTTTATGTAGCTTCTAATTCATAAACAGTATAGAAATAGAAGACATAATACAATATAAATACAAAAAGTGAATTTTAATTAGAAAAAAAATGTTTGAAAAATTTTCTAGTGTTTGTATTCCTCTTTTCTTTTGGAGGGTGCCAGGGCCCATTGGTCTCTTCTTTGGGTGTACCACTGGTAAAGAGAATAAGGTCGCTTCATAATTTGAAAAAAAAATTAATTAATTAATTATAATAAACTTGCAACGCCCAGGGACAAAATTATTTTGAAAAGAATGAATTACTTTATATGAATGCTGCTTGCATTTTAAAAAAATTCACTTTTCTATTCAAATTGTATGAAATTGTCAATTTTAAATTGCTATATGAATATATGCTAAAATTATTATAATTTTATTAATTTAATATATATTTTTTAATTAAAGTTATATTTAATTTCAGATATTTTTGCTGTCTCTGAAGAAAGTATATTTTACCAAATTCGAAGAAAATGATTTTGAAGCGAGCATTAAATTTTAAAAAATATTTAATTCTTCCATTTTCTTGGATGATAAGAATTAATGCGAATCATTTATGTCTACAGTAAAATCATGTAATGCTAAAAGTTCGGCAAAAAGTAAAAAATTATTATCTGATGAATAGAAAAAGATGACTTCCGTTAGTTTCACAAGTGGGAGACCGTCTATTAGAAGTGGTGATGACGACGATGACGATAATGATTTTGCTTCAGTTAGAATTTCTCTTAACCCTCCTCAGCAAACATTCATTTTACCTCCACCACCACAAACCTTTTTGGGAAGTTTCAGTATGTCTCAAGAGCAGAGTTGTTTCTTGTGTCCGATATTATTCGAAAGAGCATCTAAAAGTTGGTGGAATCCTAAATTCGATTCCAGTATTTTAGAAGAACAATACCACAAAAGTACATTTCCTCAGATATGTCAAAGATTTCAATACGCTCTAGTCTACCTTTTTCTCATATCAGTGTCATACTGTATATATTTTGCCTGTATGGCGAAGAGTTATTGGATTTATTTTGTTATAGGAAGTTTCTCTTTAATGTGCTATACAATTGCAGTCCTTTTATTTACATATACCTCTTATTATCAGAATTTTTATATTCCCATTTCTCTTTGTACGACAATAATTCTGTGCACTTTATCTTTGTTAATATTCATTGTTTATGTAAATAATCATGCGGAATTTTCGAGTAATGACAGCACGGATATATCATCTGTCGGTTTGTTTTGTATGTGTATTGTAATTTTGCTTACATTATATACTGTGATACCATTACCTCTGTATATTTGTATATTAATCGGTGGATCATATTCTATAATTTTTGAAGTGCTGACTGCATTCCTAACTCTGGATAATTCAGTTTTAATTGTGATAGTGAAGATACTACTGCAAATATGTATTCATATGATGGGAATACATATATTGTTGTTAACGGAAGTACGTATGAGAAATACTTTATTAAAAGTAGGTCAGTCGTTAATCGTGCGTCGAGACTTAGAAATCGAGAAACAACTTAAAGAGAAAATCATTCATTCTATAATGCCTCCGAAGGTTTCGGACTGGTTGATGGCGACTCAAGAAGGGGAAGAAGACGATCGAATTGATTCGCCTTCGAGCGATCGTAGAGTGTCTGCGAGTCCTCGCCAGTCTCAAATGATATTTCGCCCATTTAATATGCACTGCATGGATAACGTCAGTATTTTATTTGCTGATATTGTCGGGTTTACAAAAATGAGTTCAAACAAAACAGCTGAACAGTTAGTTGGTTTGCTCAATGATTTATTTGGACGTTTCGATTATTTATGTGCCAAACTCGGATGTGAGAAAATCAGTACACTTGGCGATTGTTATTATTGTGTGTCCGGTTGTCCGGAACCACGACCAGATCATGCAAAATGTTGTGCAGAAATGGGTTTAGGAATGATAAAAGCAATTGCAGAATTCGATGAGGATACCAACGAAGATGTAAATATGCGTGTCGGAGTACATACTGGAACTGTTTTGTGCGGGATTGTAGGTACCTGTCGTTTTAAATTTGATGTTTGGTCAAACGATGTGACTTATGCAAATTTGATGGAATCAACAGGCAAGCCAGGAAGAGTACATATATCAGAAGCTACATATTCATTTCTTCAAGATCAATATACTGTTGAAGAAGGCCTTCTTTTTCAAGGTATAAAGCTCTCATTTATCTATTTTAAATCAAACAAAATTAATTATTCTATATTTTAAATGTAAATAAATATTTTTGAATATATTTTAAACTAATAAAAATAATTATGTTGATATTTTAATACATACAAAAAACAGGATTTTTGAACTGTATAAAACTTAATGAACTTCAGTTTTATAGGATAGCTATTTAGACCAATTTCTTTCCTTAAAACAAACGTTTTTGAACATTCTTACAGTGGATCTTTTACTAAAATTACAAGAAATTAATATAAATATAAAATGGTTTTACTTTTTCAACCCTTTACTTGAATAAAATGAATCAGATTTTCCAAGTGATTAAGCATATCATAAAAACTACAATTAGAAGTCGGAGAAGCATCATATAAATTGTGCAGTTGCTAGTTGGTTTGACTAGTTTTGTGTAAATCCATATCTTATGCTTCACTTTTTGTGTGTTTTGTGGCCAGCCTGGCAACACTTACCATGCCCTTAGTTTTTAGTCTTTGTCTCCCAGACAGTCTGTCTGACCACGTGCATGGTACTGCTGACACTCTGTATTGGGCGCTTAATAAATTTGTTTTATTAGTTGAAGTCTGTAATTATTTGATCAAGACCCCAAAGTGGTGAGCCGAACGTGATCACAAGAACTTATTTACCCAATTCTGTGAATATTTATATTATATATTTCCGTCATGAGCAAGAGCGAAGACCCCATTGAGGTAGCACATGTATCGGTGAAAATTCCACCCTTTTGGAGAAAGAACATTAGAGTATGGTTCATACAGGTGGAATCATGATTCGCTGTCTCTAATATCACGACAGAGGTTACAAAATACCATCATGTACTAGGATCGCTTGACTGTGAAATAGCCGAATTGGTCGCTGATCTAATATCCCAACTGTTGACGAGCACGCCCTACACAGACCTAAAAATGCGATTAATCGACAAGTTTGAAGAATCCGAAAGTAGGAAGGCAAAAAAATTACTCCTAGAAATCAAGCTAGGAGACAAAAAGCCCTCGGCACTACTAAGATAAATGCGGGCACTGGCCGGTACGCAAGTAACGGACGAATTCCTTAGAATGCTCTTTCTACAGTTTTTTTTTTCTTAACAGACTTCCTTTCGGATGTTCGTTGTTCAACTGCTCTCGGATAGCCATAACAATAAATGCTGCCATCTTTTAAGATTTAATCAGAAATTGTAAGATTTTCTTGACCTTATTATGTTTGCGATATTTTGAAGGATTTACAATTTACAATGCTATGCCCTTTCAACATTTTTGTTATAATAGTAATTTGTAGTTTTTTTTTTATATTGTTCAGCAAACTGTTCTTTTTTTAATGAATATTTTTGAATTTTAATTAAATTTCTTATGACTGCTGTTATATATATATCGTAAAGTCTTTGCAAATCCGCACTTAAAATGTAAATTTTAATATTGGCGGTAGACTATCACACAGCTTTAGCCAATGATTTCACTTTATTCTATTACTATAGATGCATTTCGGTCCTTTTCTAAAAAAGGTCCCTCTTCAGTACTATAAAATACAAAAGTTTACATAAACTTTTTTTGCAAGTGAATATTTAACATAACAATAAATATTTTAGTATTACAATACCATTTGAGTATACATTTTTATTTATACATCCTTTCAGCACTTTCATCTTGAGTGCACTAAATTATTTTTAATTGTACACAATAAAAACACACAACTGGTAACTATCCAACAGACCGTTGCACACTATAAATCACAAAGTTTTAGGTGTGTACTCTTCTCTTAGATAGCATCTAAAATAATTTATATCATGTCTCAATACTTCAACTTGCTTTGTGAGGTTCATTAGCTTTTCCGTCATATCCTTTTTTATTTTCGTAAATTTTAATTAAATTTCTTATGACTCTTCTTATATATAAATATTTTTGAATATTTTCTGAAATTTTATCTGAAAATATACTCAAATATGATATTATAGCAATTTCAAATAAGAATGATCAAAGTAGAAAGGATATTTTAGTAGAGAAGTAGAAAATTTTGGAATTATCATATTCTATGTTAGAAATAAATCATTACTTTCATTTATATATAAAAGTAAAAGTACATTCTTGAAACTTTAAAGATAATTTAATTTCAAAGACCATAAAAGATCAGCATTTGTCAAATACACTGCATTAAAGGTTTGTTTCGGTCTGTAAATGCCCTTTGTTAACAGAACATGTAAATGATTCATAGATGCATAAGTATAAGCATGAATTAGTCATGGAGATTGAATGATCTCTGCAAGGGGAACTACTTGATGCATACTAATTATACTGAAAATAAATGATGTTATTGAACAAAACTTTCCTGTAATTCTATTGGTATATTTGTTTTAGGAAAATAAATGCGTATTATTAGGTAGTGCAAGTGCTCTGGAACTGGTATGACAACTCTTGGATCAGTAGATCGTAGTTCAATCAAAAGAAACTTTAATTTATATTATTTTCAAAACCTATATATTTATTTTACATAAATTTTAGTGTCTTCATTTATCTGGATCAATGCTAATGGACTTCTGTTCCTCCAGTATGACCTGAATATATAAGAACATTCTTATCAGTGATCAGATTTCCTTTTACGGGACTGTTTTAATCTTATATAGCATGTATTAATTTCAATTAAAATCAACTCTCTTATATTTGTATGAAAAATTTATGGATTTTAGTTGCATTAAAATATCAAATAGTAATAATTTAATCAAATTTTTTAGCTTAGATTTATGTGCATGGTCTTTCGAAATGAATGCTACAATTTTAAACTACTGTAATTATGTTAATTATTATTCGAGAAGTATACGACACGCATCAATTGATAGAGTAACTTTCTGAGTTTTGTCTCCTATCTGCATTTGAAGATCTTGTGTACTACCTCTAGAAAGTGCCATAAATGAAAATGCCAACTCTGAAACAGAGGAGGTATTTTGTGTTCTGCAGTTTGCAAAGTTAGAACCACTCATCATTGTACAACATGAGTAATTCACAGGAGCTGCAGAATTGTGGCAAGTGTGAGAGTAGTGACAACAGGTATGCTCTAGCAAGCATAAGTAGAATTTGAGTATTAGTTGGATGGGTGCCATGTGATGGAAAGTGTGTGCATACATTGAGAAATTGTATGGACAAATGTGATATTTGGTTGGATTTCCAATGTTCTCAGGTAATAATTAATGTAAGTACAATAATTTAAAATGGTTGCATTCTTTTTGGAAGACTTTGAGTTTAATTAATATATATTTGTTAGAAAAAAAACATATAGAAAAATAATTTAAACTGTGCCATTTAATTTTTTTGTTTGATATACCTACTGTATTTTATAAATTTTTAGGAAAGAAAACATACTTCATTCGTGGAAGGAAATATGCTATATATGAAAAAGTGAACACTGCATTAGCTGCGAGACATTCTTGGCCATTTCCGCCTACGGTCATAGCCGAGCTTCAGAGTCGAAAACCTAGTAGTCAGTCTGAAGCAGGTCAGGATGAAGAAGGATCAGATTCTCCGATGCTTCCTCTTCAATTTCAAGGCAGTTTTTCGACTTTATCTAGCAGTCGAAAAGATTCCGGAATCAGGAGTCGTCGGAGCAGTCTTCAAGATATGGTGAGTCTTGTCTAACTAAACAATTTGATATTATAACTTTTAAATAGAAGATATATACAGGTAACCCCCGTATAACACGGCACTTCTATAGCATGGATTCACTCTAACATGGTTCGAGAATTGGTACCATCCCCGTATAACACGGTACTGTTATAGCACGGATTCACTCTGACACGGTTCAAGAATTGGGTAAAACCCTCGTACAACATGAAATGTAATAAATTTTTACATACTTAAGTACTAATAGTTCACGAAAATAATAATTTTCGTGAACTATTAGTACTTCAGTATGTAAATTTTCTTTTCTCACCTTTTGTCCATACACATAGTCCTTCTTGAAATTTGTTTCAATTTTGCCAGATCTCGACGCTTTTGCTTCTGATGTTGCCAGATGTTTTTCTCTTATTCCGTAAGTGCTTAGCACAATATAAGGAAATTTATAAATAACTTTTAACTAGAAGCAAGCAATCTAAAAATACATACTTTTTGCAAAAGTAAAGCATGCAGAAAAATGCTCAGAGGATAAGGATAACTTGCCAAAAAGAAAATGCTCTCGGTTAAGTGCTTTTAGTGATGATGAAAAAAACATTGTTTAATTTATATTAATATGTATCACTTAAGAAAATTTTAATAAAGATATTTATCTTAGTTATGAATATATAATAGTATGTTTCTTAATTTTTGGAACCTAACCTTCCTTTTCATACTAGTTCTTTGTTTCATATAACACAGATTCGCATACCACAGCAATTTTTTGGAACGTAACTACCGTGTTATATGGGGGTTACCTGTATATATCTGGCTTCCAGAAATCTGGCCTGACCAGAAAACCAGTTATTTTTGAAACTAGTTAGTTTTGAATTTGGTGGGCTATAGTATGACTGTCACATAGTCACTTTGGTTTGATTTCTGTGACATATGCATTGCATGATGTCAATTTCAGTTTGATTACTAGCATATGGCATGTTAAATACAATTTCATTGTTTACTTTTCATTGTTGGGTCACCAGTGGCCAAGCGGTTCTGTTCCTGAACACTGGGAGTTTGGTCGTGGGTTTGCACCTCACCAGGACAGGCTGGTCACGTGGAGTTTTTCAGATTTTCTCCGCATCTGTAATGCCTGAATAGAGGCAAGTTACCCTTAAGAAGACCTCCTAGAAGGCATTTCCCCTAGGCAGATCGTCCAAGTGTTGCGTTGCCATAACTAAACAAACAAACTTTCCGTTGTTGATATTATATTTAACCTGTATCCAGAAAATTCAGAAAATTGGATCACTTCCCAAGTTTGTCAAGTTTGGTCTAGTACTGCAATACAATTATCACTTACATGCTGTTGTCTTAATTTAATAATTATATAAAACTAACTCTTACTGCTAGAAAAAGCTGCATTTTGTAATAAGTTATTATATTCTGATGATTTACACCTTTGTGCAGTATTTGTAACTAGTGAGTGAGTTTTGTTGTACAGTACAGTACAGTACAGTATAGTTGTAAAGTCGCTCTACAGTGGGCCACACATGTGGCTTGGCCAAGTGGTGATGCCATAACTTGTCAATGAGGGCATCATTCAACAGACAATCCAATACTGTAAATATCATATCTCTGAGTGACTCTGCATTGTTTCTTGTCATGCTCACCATCAAGCAAAAAGTTTTCTTGTGTAGAAAAGTCTGATTGTCTGGAAAATGGAGGACAACATTTCCAGTATCTCAAAGATGAATTTTCTGTGTCTGAGAGAAAACCACATAAGAGCAATTATCCCAAAATTGTGTGTCAAATGGGCGTTTATTAAAATATTAGGCGACTCTTGTGATGTCATTACTTTGTTTCTGAAAGCTCCTCCCATTTCCCTACCCGCTGCGGATTGACATTACGATTACCCTGTATTTTAGCAAAGAATTTATTAAACTGCTCGGGCATCATTAAAACAAAAATAATAAATAAATATACAATTAAATATAAAGTTAATGCAAGAAAGTAATGTATACAAGTGAATGATGAACAAGATACAATTATATGCAGCAGTTGTGTTAGATTTTTATAAGAATTCTATTTTAATTATATTTATGGTAAAGATGTCTATATATATTTTAAATATTGTGATGTTTGTAATTTTAATTAAAATTAAATTAATACATTGCTTTTCTTCAACAGATTTTTGATACATCAGGGATTACAACAGCAAATCTTCTCTCACATCGATTTAGTGGTTATTACACTTCGAGTCAAACGTCTGTAGCAGATACGGGCAGGTCTAGTGGATCTAGTGTCCGAGGTGCCAGTTTGTTTGTGGATCCTTCTCTATCTATAAACGAAAGTCTTGCACGGTTAAAGTATTTGCGTAAACAGTCAGATTTGCAGTTAATTAGATGCGTCCAGCAAGACGTGGCTCACGTTGATTACTTTGTCCGACCACCAATAAATCAACTGTCTTTGTTTTTTCACGATAGGAATATGGAAAGCGAGTATAGACAGCGCATAAATCAGAGAGATAGGAGAGGCTCTCCTCTAACTGTTTCTTCTGCAAAATTTAACTCATATTTTGCAATTTTTTTATCGACCTTCTTTTACATCGTAATTGCATTTTCTTGTTTCTTATTATTCGACGCTACTGTTTCTTGGTTTGTCTTCTGTCTCTTAGCCACTGGGTGGCAATTATTCATAATAATACTCTGTTTGCAAAATATGTTAAAAATTAATGTTTGTTGTACAAATCAATATCTCTCTCGGGTATATAATTTTCTTACTAGTTGGTATCCTTGGCATACATGTGGAGCAATATTACTTATCCTACCTGTTGTGTCGGTGTTTTGTAATTTTACGTGTACTTCCATTTTAACTAGTCCAGAAAGAACCCACACGTTCTGTTATCTATTGTTTGTATCGTTAATTCATTTTTGTAATTTTACACAATTAAATTACTGGTTGAAATCAATACTCTGTATAATTGCAGGAATAATATTGATATTACTGTTAGGAACACCCTTGTGTCCCTGTATAAATGATGTCTTTGTATCAGATACCTCAGCATTAATGAGTAACGTTACATTTGATAAAAGTAGCAGAAATGTTGTACCACTTCCGTCGGCTCAAATATTATATCATTGTAATCAGACTTTAATCTATGAAACTATACTTAATGTAGTTATTATTTCCTGTTTGGTTTGGTTTCTGAATCGTGAATTTGAAATTAGTTACCGTTTGAGTTTTCACGGAGGAATGACGGCCGCTCGTGACAAGCGTAAGATTCAGATTATGAAGAATCAAGCAGATTGGTTACTGCATAATATTATTCCGAAACACGTTGCCGAGCAATTAAAAAATACATCCAAATATTCTGAAAATCATAAAAATGCTGGTATTATGTTTGCAAGTATTGTGAATTTCCACGAAATGTATGACGAATCCTTCGAAGGCGGCAAAGAATATCTGCGTGTCCTAAATGAATTAGTCGGTGATTTTGATGAACTACTACAAAGGCCATCGTTTAGAAATATAGAAAAAATTAAAACCATAGGAAGCACTTTCATGGCGGCATCTGGTTTGAATCCAAAAATAAGGCAACAAAATCCTCACCCTCACACTCACTTAGTGGAATTATTGGATTTTGCAATATGCATGCAACAAGTTATAGAACATTTTAATTGCAATTTACTGGAATTTAGTTTCATTATGCGTATCGGATATAATTTCGGCGACGTAACGGCCGGAGTAATCGGCACCACAAAACTGTATTATGATATTTGGGGAGATGCCGTTAACATTGCTAGTCGAATGGATTCTCACGGAGTCTCGGGACGAATACAGGTTCCAGAACATTGCATACCAGTATTAGAACAAGTTTTTGAATTCGAGCATAGAGGATCAATCTTTGTCAAAGGAAAAGACAACATGAATGTGTTTCTAGTAGTAAAAAAACGTGAAAACATACCCTGTATTTATAAATCAATCTCAAAAGAGGATCCAGTTTGTAAAAACGACGAATTCTCATGAATAGGTATATCGTTTAGCATAATAATAATAATTTTTAAAACTATTTTGTCATCAATATTTCTGTAACAGCAGAAGCTTTAAACATACCATTTATATTTTTAAATGTCATTGTAAACACATTTTAAGCAGACATATTCTTAAAAATGCAGATTTTATATACTAATTTCAGTTATGATGCAACATAAACAAACGAAATTTGCATTAGCATAATTTTTGGAATAAAAAAACAACTTTGTTTAGTTGAAATTCTGATCTCATTTTTAATGAATTTTTAAAAAGATTATTAATGATTTCATTAGGTATGTTAAATATTCAAATAAGCTACTTATTGAAGTGCTGTTTCAAAAAATAGGAAAATTCTTTGCATAATTTAATGTCACGATATTCATCAGATCAATGGATCAGGAGCAGAATTCTAAATTCATTTTGATTTAAATTATTAAATCTAAGTATTTAAATATTTTATTTTGCTATGTGGTGCACTAACATCTACTGATCATTAAAATCAAATTAATAAATTAGCAATAAAGTTGTGATAAAGAAATATCTGACATACGGCGAGCCTAAAATAAATTTCATAATAGTCTGAATTTTTGAGATTTATCTACATTTTTTAATAAAACGAATATGTACAAAACTTAACGCTGCCCAAAGAGAGTTTTTCGCAAGCTTGAGCCGCACATCATTTGATTTGAATGGACATTTTGCAATTTGCATTTGTGCAGAAGCAATTTCTATAAACAAGGAATTTTATATAAATATTGAATTGAGGAGGGAGAACTTAATTCAAAATGTCTTTAGCAATGTAAAATTTTCAATATCTTGTTATTTTTCTGCCTTAGTTATCTTTAACATTTATTTTAATTATAAAATAACAAGTCATAAACTGACTTTAAATATGAAAATATTAAATTAAACTTGTGTATATTGACCTCCTCTCCATCCTGAGGTACTAAGAGAACCTTTATTTACACCTGTTATGGGTTCTGCAAGGCCTACAATAAGACATTGGATGGTGGGTGGTGAGAGAGAATGTGGATGGTGCTAGGGTGGGTGCAAGCCCACCTTAAAATCTCCTTGTCCACCTATTGGCTGACACTAAAATAATTTATTCGGGTCCATCTATCGTAACCATTATGAGAGGTTTCTTTAAATATGAGTTGATTGTTTGCAAGTATTAATATTAAATGCTTATTTTTGCTTAAATGTCTTATTGAAATTTGATTTCTAAATTTTAAAAATTAATTTGTTTGATGATAAAATGTGCAGATAACATCCACCTCATTAAAATAGTATTCCATCCTACCCCTACCCTCCCAGAATGAAAATCTTAGTGCCATTACTGATGGAGAAGACTCAAACTTAGATCCATCAGAGCAGTAGTCTGACCATCTTCCATTCATTACTCTATTATGTTATTGCATTTCTAATTATAAAGCTGACATTTGTGAAATATATTTCATTTATATATTACTTTTGGCATTCAGATCATGCAGATGCATTTCAGCAAGCTTGGAACACGCTAAAATTTCTTGCACATAGTGCAGGTAAGGCTAGAGCCAGTACTTAATAGAGAATTTTGATTTAAATCTCTCCTCCTCAATTATACAAAAATAATGAAAAACGTAATATCGATAAATATATAAATGCTGCATTCCATCCAATTCATAAATTTTTGCCATTAATAGGTTGTGATCTTGATAGTAAATCTCTTAATTATGATTAATGCAAAAATTTATATGCTAAGTATGTTTTACGCGGTGAAATTTCATTAAAATTCAAATTTTATTGAGTTGTATTTTAAAAAAAATTTATGATTTTCAACTCACTCAAATTCTTTTAAATTAATTAAGACATTAGCATTGTTACTTGAGATTGAAGTCTTTATTTTGCAGTAATTTGTTATAATTTTTGTATTTATAAATAATTATTTACTGTAATTTCTATAACAAAGAATGCAAGAGATGTACAAATAGGAGAATAAGTTAAAAATGTTTTTAATTGTAAATTTTGAAGATTAAACATGTTGTAATTTAATAATACTGTCCACATGTGCATATAATCATATATATTCTGTGAATGTCGAAGAATATGTCAGCTTTTGCATCTGTTTTTTTGTAATTTGACTCAAATTTTGTTACAGTTAAGATATTAAATTGATCTTCTTGATTGCTAAATAAAAGATTTTCAATTAAACTAAAGACTATTTTTGATGTCTTTAAGAAACTTTCTGCAAATACTTTATTTTTTTTTAACTCTCTGCCCTATGGACACTAAGAGGGCCATTTTATCAAGCCCATTATGAGTTTGGTCAGGCTCACAATGATGTAGTCAAGCAATGAAGGATGGAGCATAACATATCCTGATGGACCAACCACAAAAATTCCTGTGGTTTTCGATTCCAGAACCCCAGAGTGACTGTTGTCACTTTAATTGTTTAACCATCCTCTACAAACCTTTTAACCTTTTAAGTCTGTCTCTACAAATACTATAACATGGCATTTGTGACTAGGTAACAAAGATGTTAAGAAAACAACCTAAACCACTCTGGGGAATCTGGGATCAAATCTGGCAGTCAAGAAATTTTGGGAATTTTCCATGGGAAATAAGTCCTAGATATGTTGGGCCATCCCTTGCTTTCTGGTTATTCTTGTTGTGAGTTTGGCTAAGAAAAAAGTCCCTTAATGCCAATATGACAGCCAAAAATAAAAAAATTAACCCAGAATATAACTACCTTCTAGCAATTTGTCAATATTCTTTTGATAACCAATAATTATGGTATTTAAAGTTTTAATATGTTTATCACTAAAGGTAAGTGAAATGTGGATCAGAATAGTCACAAGTTTCTGATCCACATTGAAAACCATAAAAATCTGAATAAAACCAATAACTACAAAAAAAAGATCTGTTTTTCTTTTATTAAAAGATATGAGATAAAGCGAGAGGACCTCTTGTTTTGGACTGGAACATTGTCTGAAAATTGGTGTCAGAGATTAGATACCACTGTCTGAAAACTTCATGGAAATCTGATAAGTAGGATCATTTTGGATAGAATAAATATTAAAATTTGAGTCGGGAAAGTAACACAAATCGGTGTCAAACTTCCACTTGGAGAAAATTCACGTTGGAGACGTTAAATCTCTATACTGTTCCATTGAGACCTACCAAGTACTTCATTTTCTTCCAGTTAGAGAAGTTTTACTGTAGTTCAAACATGTCTGTGAAAACAAGGTATGTGGCTGAAGAAATATGTTTTGCAGGCCATAATTGGCCATGGGCCATATCTTGGAGACCCCTGAGGCAGTTATCAACTTACATCTGGGAATTCGAGATTGAACTTGGGTGAGTAAACCCAGGGATTTTTCATCGGTGGTTTGTCCCGAATGTGTTTGGCCAGTTTCCATTGTGAGTCATGCTGAACCCATAATGAGGCCTAGAATAAACAAATCCTCAGCATCCAAAGAATGGAGAGTCACAATGAACGTAAATGTAGACAGCCATATAGTGTAAAATCTATTGGTGCTTTGAATTGATTATTTTTTTCTTTGTTTCCAATTCTTTGAATAGTCTTGACTATAAAATATTTTGATACAACGCAAATTCTGCAGCATTAAAAATAAACAGAGAAAAAAGAATAATTTTTAAATATTTGAATGAAAATGAATTAGAAGTCATTCATATTAATGGAAAATATCACATATGCTCCAACAAACAATTGAAATTTTCATTTATGCCATTACTTATGATGTCAATTTAAAGAAACAAACTCTCGATTGAGCAGGATACATTACAATATGCATTAAACAGCGCATCAGTGAACTGCAATGTACTAAACTGTGTTTCACTATTCACCAATTCATTGGTGTTGCAACCAATGCACATTGCAACAATCAAGCTGCGGATACGGCGAACTCTGACGAAGCAATACGGCCATCTCCGTGGTTATATTATTAACACTATTTTTATTGCTAATCTGTATTGACCAAAAGTTATTTTGACAAAATAAGTCTGCAAAGGCCAATATAGTGCTGTGTGCTTCTGCCATCTTGTCAGATTGCCAGAGATTCTTATAAAAGCTTAAGCCATTGACAGGTGCATCTGTTGTATTGGAATGTACCCATTGTTCAGACAATTCTTGAATCTAATCACAATGGCAAAAGCAGGGTTTCTTCTAACCAATGTTATTGTGACGTCAATAGTCAAGCAACAAAACTTCCTACTTATTTTTTAATTATTGGTTTAAAACCCTTAATTAAGAAAATATGTCTCTGAATATTATACAATTTTAAAAAATGACGTCATCATATAAATTATTATAAAATTAAAATGATGATGACGTCAAATTGACGTAAAAGCGTGTTCTATAATGGCCACCAATAGAATAAAACTTTATATTACGTAAATTTTTAATTGACGCTCCACTGGTTATCACGTGAATATTTTATTATTGAATTAATTTTTAATTACAAAAATTAAAAAATAAGGAAGCTTTGAAAGTTAAAATAAATTTTTATAATTAATTTATTTTTAAAAACCTATAATTGTTCATGAATTAAATACAGTATAAATAGGAAAATAACAGTGATCTCTGGTGTCGATATAAATTACAATATTGCGTAATGTATTTAATAATTTTATAGTATTTATATACAGTAATACTATTATAAAGACTTAAATACTTAATAATAATTTAAACATTAAAAGTAAAAACATAATGACACGACATATTTGATTAAATTTCAAAAATTTTCACGCAAGAGGGCGCTAAAGGAAATGAATAAGTAAACACGTGTTTTGATTTTTTAAATTTTGGAACGTGTTTGAATTTGTTGTAAACGATATTACCAAAATAATTATGGAAGAAATGGAAGAAAACGATCTGTGTTCGTCATTAAATTCATTTAATTTTAAAGATAGTTGCGAAGATTTTTGTATGGAAGATGTTGAAAAGGATAACATTGTAGAAGACGAAACACGTGATTCATTTGTTTCGAATGATGAGTATTTACTCGATGATTTACACGTTGAATCTACTCGTCGATCTTTAAATAAAACGCCAAGTGTTACCACTATCAAACGTAAAATAAAGCCCGTTAAGAATAATATTAATCAATATGATGATAAAGTGTTTGAAGAAGAAAAGTACGAATCTAAACAATGGAAGTGAGTATCATTTTATAACTTTTTAAGGTTTATTTATTTGAAATTTTAATGTAAATCAATGTGAACTATTTTATTTTACTTTTAAATTTAAAAGTAAACATTGTTGAACATTCTTCTATTTGAAAATTAGGCGCACAATCAGCAATTATCTATCATTCATGCTTAAAATTATATGGAAAATCCACAATCCTCAACGTAAAATATTGCATTGTATCGAAGTGTAATTGATGATTTTTCCACAAGAAATTTCAAACAACCCTTACAGAATGGCTCCCTATTTTACAGGGCCCAATACAAAATATTAGTGTGGGGCCTTTTCAAAATGCCAAGGATTAATTAAGTGCAAGTCCTCTATACTTTCAGTCCTGCCAGACTGCAAATTGATGAAAACCAGCTCTGTGTTTTCAATTCTGTAGTTATAAAATCATAATTGTTCAATTGTGTCTAAATTTTCAGTAATGCTAAAATTGAAAGTAAAAATATCATTCATTGCTTTGCTGATCGGTAAATGATTATTGATGTTTTAGCCTTAATTTGTCCATTATGGATGGGCTTTACTTGCATTGAGATTAAGTGTTTCTACCTGTCCTTATTTGGTAATAATAGTCCTTACTTCAGTTGCAGTGGCCTTCCTTGTTTAGTGAAATGTCGTTCCTAACAGTGAAATGGATTGAAAAACAAAAAATATGTTGCGGTTAATATTGTTAGCTAGTAAACTACATAACACAACCTTTTAGCAGTTAAAATGTTTATAAGTAAATTGAATGAACATTTTTGGCCATGTATACAGCCATATTCGGATTCTACAAATCAAATTGATATGAAACATTATCAAACAATGTAGCTATATATATAGTACTAGGTAGATATTGTTTCATATCTACCTAGTGTTTCTCAGCTATATCACAGAAAAGCTTATGAAAAGAGCTTTTCTGAGAAATTTTGAAAGATATTCCTTGAAAACTTTTTAATAAACTAGGTACTACTGCACCAAATGTTTCCATGTAATTTTTTTTAATCGTTGTTCTGAAAGAGGGCACACCTAATTGTGATTGACCAGTGTAAGGAGTAGAAAATACTTTAATCAGATGAAAATAAAACATTAGAGGACAATTGCTCCAGTATGAGGACCCAAAGAAAATTATAAAGAAGGCCATGACCGCACCAGGCTATTATGCCAGTGACGGTGGTGATACATATAAAATGAATTTTAAAATTTAATAAAAATGTTAATCATGTTAATTTATATATCTAAATTAATTTATTATATCACTAAAGCATTAAAATTTATTTAACAATTTTATATAGTAATTTTATCTAATGAATGTTAATTTGAATTTAGTGATGACGGTGCCTTAAGGAGAGCTTTCAACGAATATTTACAGAAAAGATCTGCCTCTAAACAGTTGTCTAAAATTTCAGTTGTAAATACTTCACATTGGAAGTTTCCTGCAAAACAGAAACCTACTCGTAAAACATCAACGTTACTATCGACTGCCGACAAATCATCTCATACTTCAAGAGCATATTCAAGTACACAAGCTCGAGATTCATCAAGTGCTCCACATTCATTAAGAAGAAGGAAAGAAAAAAAATTAGATGAATATCTCCAACGGATATATCAAGAAAATTTATATCATTTATTTGAAAAGCATTTCGATTCTAAGGTAAGTGCTTCAGGCTATACACTCAGTAAGGACTGCAAAGATGAATTTAAGAGAAATGTAGAAGAAAAGACATCAGATTATTACTAATAATCTGGCTAAAAAGTATTTGTTTCAAGAAAAGTAAGTTCAAGTTTGTATTAGTAATCTGGTCTTTTCTTTCCTTCCACATTCCTTTCATAAAATTTTCATTAAGTCCAACTCCATTCGAGATATGACATGTGATCCCTCATATCCACATATCCACCCACTTCCTCGAGGAGTCCTGTTTTATGACATGTGATCCCTCATATCCACATATCCACCCACTTCCTCGAGGAGTGCAAAATATAACAGCATCGATATCTCTTATATACAAGTTATCATGCCAAATTTCATTTCTTTATCTTTACTGCATCCTGAGATATAAAGCAAAATAGAGGCCAATATACTCACACAACCAGAAAATTTTTACTTTTGGGTTCAGGGAATCTCAGAAAAATTTGACATGATTACAATACTATTGTTAGTGTATAGTTTTATACATGATATAATAACATGTTCCTAGAATATATCTTAATACAAAAATATTTAATAATTTAATTAATGAACATTGTGTAATAAAGAAGTACATTTAATTTTAGGAAGCCGAGGAGCTTGCTTCAATTCTGGAATTACCAAAGCCAGATAGTCTTCCTAAAAGTGTTGAGAAACAAAAATCTGGCGATGTATCCAATAAATATCAAATAAAACCTTTATTTGAAGTGGAAGTGAAAAAGTAAATTAATATTTAATTTATAATTAATATATACAGAATGCTTCAAGAAATGTTAACACTTATCTAAACTATAATTTTTAATGGAAACTTACGGAATAATGTGCTATTGCATTATTATGAAGGAAGTCAGCATAGCGTCAGAAAATTCAGCTGCATTGGTTGTTAGGATGTGTCACCAAATATGAGAGAATGACAGTTTGTTTCATGAAAAAAATTATGGTCAGGCTGATATTTGATATCCTATATCTCCCCTTTATGGTAAAGGAGAAAAGGAAAGGAAAGTGAAGAGAGGGAGGAGAATCAAATTTTAACAGTGAAGGTATAAGATTCGTGGAAAACTGTAATCAAAAGTCATACTGGAAATCCACAGAGATTGATGAAGAGGAAGAAATAAGTTTCATGAAGAGAACTAATAATTTGATGACAATATTATTACAAGTGTTTGTTCACAATTCATAAAATTAAAGAGAATTGCCATTATTTTCAACACTAGTCTGGAACTTTTTCCTGGGGATCTTGATAAAAATGCTTATCAAGAAATATGCTTCTGAGGTTTTTTCATGATGCATTTGTGTTAACACTTTATTGAAGTATTCTGTAGCATTAGTATGATATATTTCTAATAGCATTGTGTAATTTCAGAAATAAGATGAAGACAAAGAAGAAAGCAGTGACTAACCCATACAGAAAATTTCTGTTAAGATTAGAAGATAATACATTACCTATGACTATTCAAAACAGAGATGAACAACTAGTAAGAGAACATGTAAGGATACTTTTGATTATTATTATTCAATACATTTCTCAGGATATTTACAATATAAACTGTACATTTGTTGTTTTAGAAATATCATAAAGAAATACTAGGTCTTCCTAGGTCTTCCACAAACAATGCTAGTAACCCATTTTAAAGTACTGTAATTATATTAATTATTACTTGAGATGGATGCAATGTACAACAATCAATAAAGTAACGGTCCAAATTTCATCTACAATCTGTATTCAAATGTCTTGTTGTCTAATGTTTCTAGGAAGTACCGTAAACAAAACTGGCGACTCTGCAGCAACAGTGAAGGCAATTTGTGTTCTGCAGTTTACAAAGTCTGAATCATTCAGCATTCTGCAATGTGAGTAATCTGCAGGAGCTTTAGAATTGTAGCTTCTATAGGAGGAGTGATAATGGATATGCTGTTGCAAATGTAAGAAAAGTTTGAGAATCAGTTGGATGTGTGTTTTGTAACATCAAGTGCACCCACTGAGAAATTGTAATGAGTAAATGTGAAAGTTGGACAGTTTTCCAATGTTTCAAAGTACACTACAATGTTCTCAGATAATAATTCACATAATAACAATAATTTAAAATGGTAATATTCTTTGTGGAAGACTTTGTGTATATGATTAATTTAAAATTAATCAAGTATAGTTTTATTAACTTTATTATTAGACAGCTAGACTGAAGTAGTTGTATGTGTCTGTTACTCTAATAGATTTGAATTTGAATTCAAATTTATTTGGAACTTTGTTATGTTGGTCTCTACTCCTCCCCACCTGGTCATCCCATTATAGATCTGACCAAGTATGTGATGGGCAAGACAAAAGAGTTCTCCCAAGCTTTCTTCCTTCCACATGGTAAAGGAATTTTAAAAATTCCATAGAGCAATAGAAATTGTCCAGCTCGTGACAGTTATAGGCTTGCAATAGGTTCAATTTTTGCTTCCAGATATTATTAAATGAATTAATTTAAAACTTTTAACACTACTTGATATTGGCCAAATATTTGCTCGTAATTTAGTGAATACTGGCTTAAGTGTTTTCAATAAAATATACAGGAGAAGAATCCAAATAAACATTAAAAAAAACGTTGATCTTACATTTTGTAATGAGGAAGAAACAATTTTCTTATACTGCTTTTATTTTTTGTTTTAAGACTAGATGTATCAAGCCTAAACTACATGGTTATTTTTTTAAACTATGCTTTCTGGATGTATGAGGTAAACAAAATTTTAATATAGAATTAGGAATGTTTTATGAGTGATCTCAGTCAGACATATTGAGATTCATTCCAAATTATGCCACTAATTCATTGCAGATTTATCCAAAGGATTGCCCATAAATATGGACAATCCTTATGGTTATGTAATTTATGGACAAAGGATTGTCCATAAATTACATAACATAAATATGGGTGAGTATGCATTACAAGGAGTGAGGTATTTACAGTAACATTATGTAATGCTATGGTCTTAACCCTTATATAATGGAAGATTTATTTTTTCTCTGAAGTGTTGCATAACAATTCATAATGTTTGTGCTAATGCTTTGTTCATTACACAAGTAATTACACAAGTAATTAATTAAAATAATGTAATGCTTGGTACCCTGTGCTGTGTGTTATTCCTTAGTGCAGTTAAGATGATTAATTAAGGATATATGTTATGTAATTTGGGGCTATGTGCTTATGGTATTATACAACATTACAAGAAAGTGAGCTGGTAGTTGAAAAGTATTAAAATGGCATTATGTAATTTATGGACATTTTCCAAATCCTATGTCAAGGGTGGCAAACCTATGGCGTGCATGCCCAAAGTGACACATTGGGACGCACATAATGTGTCATATGGTTTATTACCCATTTTTTTATTATCCTTTTTTCAATCAGTTTTACATTTATTCCAATTAAAGCATGCTTGTTTCATTTTTTAAATATCATTATTCAAAGTCCAAAACTTCCACACACATATATATTTTTAAAGATAATTATGTTCACTATATGGAACATGGACTCAAAAAGTTTGCCATCTCTGTCCTATTTGATACCATAAGAATATCCTTTAATGGGCTGATAGCTGCCGAAGAATGGACCCTGATATATTTGATTATATAATCCACAGAAAATTTCTTAAGAATTTAATCCAGCTTCTATCCTAGATTCTCAGAACTGTAGACATTCATATTTGCAGCTTCAGTTATCTGTCCAATTATAATTATTAATGTTAAATAACAACTATTATGCAGAGATTTTTGTCTTATTTAAATCAACTATTAGAGTATATTTAATTTATTTTTATTTACAGATCACTTATATTAACAAAATAATTTTAATAATATATAATAGACACTTTTATATGAGTATATTTAAATTGGTTTGTCTATTTTTATAGATTTATATTTAACTAGAATTAAATTGAGAATCACCTCTTATGCATAACTCATACATGTATGGCAATATAATATTTAACATTTTTGTAAATTGTAATCATTATTTATCGTAGATGATTTTGAATGCAGGTGTGTTGCTTAATGATGGGAATACATTTCAAGAAATACATCATTAAGCAAATATCATAGAGTGTATTTGAACAAACCTTGATATGATGATAAATGATGATATAAACTTTGATATAACCTTGATTTGATATAATCTACTACTCATATAGGGTATATATAATATAGTTATGACATTATGTAACTAAACATAGAAAAGGTACAGCCAGCTATGAACTTTTTAGCTCCATTATAATCTTATGAGACTTCTGTCATATAAGTGGCACATACTTGTATAATCATTTATTCTTTTCAAATTGATTAATAATGATTTAATAATGATAATAATTATTATTAAATAATGAATTGTTGTAATCATTTAGTTGTGTGTAATTTGTTTATTGTGTTTTACTAGTTATAACTTCTTTATACTTACATATAAAGGAAGAGAAAAAAAGGCAGAGTAGGCATAATTATTCCTCTTACCAAGTGAATTTGTGTTATTTTACTGAAAGATGCATGCCTCACTTATCAGTCTTTATCTCTTCAATGTTTTATTTTATATATAATAAAACTAGATATGGTTATATTTAGATTAATTGAGTATTTAAATAGTTTGGAAGTGAAGATCAGATGAAGGTTGTACTATAACTGGAAACATATCTACATGTAAGGTGAACAATCATCCTCCTTTAGGGAAGACAGTTCTCCTTTTGTAAGTTCTATCCTCCCTCAAAAAGTGTCCTCCTACATGTCCTCCTTTTCAATATTTGAAGATTAATCTGTAAATCTCCATATTTGATCAATGCTGAGCTGATCCATTGCATGTGATGTGATGTGACGTGTTTGTATTTGACATGATAATTCATCAAGGGTTGGTACAGTGCTGTGAGACGCGATTATGAGATAATGCACTCCACACGGGAGACCTTGAAAGAGCACGCCGCACACAAGTGGCTTTGTTTCCTTCTTACCAAAACACGACACGACACATACACATGCAGTAGAGATTATTATAGTGTATTATTGTTGAAATGAATAAAATGTTTCTTTTATTTACAATATTTTTTTCTTCAATTTATTTGTGTCCTTTTTTTCATTGTAAAAAAGTTGGTCACATTACTACATGGTAGTAAGGTAGAGTTGCAGGTTTGCATCTCTCCTGGCCAATCTTTTCTTCTACAATATTCTAAAATTAATTGATTTATAATTAGTATATTTAACAAGAGATGACAGCCTGGCAACCTACCTCCTGCAAAATTGCTTAGCAATTATTTATCTGACTGTTCATTTGATTCTATTTTTTTATACAATAAACCTTGCACTTAAATTAAAAATATTGTTTATGGAAACATTGTATGGCTAGACATGAATTATAATTGAAGTTAAGAAGGTATCATAGATCACCATTAATGACATTCATTATTTGAAAATTTTATTCTATCAAATTATCTTATTAAAATAAAAATTATACCAAAAATAATAATTTAAATTTATTTAATTTCTATAATTAAAATAGTAAATTTTAATAAAATAATTTACAGAATGAAAAGAGAGCCTTTGAAATAGCCAAACGATTTAGTGAATGGACTGGTGACATGAAAGGAGAAAGAAAACCGAATGAAGACGATAGTGAAAAATACAAACCTATTATCGATCCTTCAGTTATTTTGCATAATTTTCAAGCAGACGAAATTTTGGCTCATCCCGAACAAAATATTGTTATTAACATAAAAGAATTGTTTCCTGTTCCTGATGAACTTCGTCATTTGGCTTCATCAGAACAATTGAAACAGTTAAATGTCAACGATATATTTAAAGTAAGTTCGATCAATTACTTAACGTATAAGAATTGATTTTATAGTTTCAAATTGCAACGAATTAACAATTACTTCATTTACTATAATTGTGATACACATATATACAGTGATAACATTTCTTCAACAAACAAAATATTCAAAATTAACCTTGAAAAACAAGTAAATTTGAATAGTAAGCAGTGCTGAATAAACTTGTCAAGATGATGTCAAACATATCTGATTCAAATTCTTTTCTCAGACCATAACATTTTAAAAAGCTCTAAAGGCTTTTGTATTTTATATCGTGTTATTTTTCAACCTTTTTTTATCTCATGGCACACTCGAATCTATAATTAAATTTCCATGGAAAAATTCACGTGATTTAAAGTTGTGTTTGTAAACATTCTATTGCTCTATTACATGCCTCAGCTTAATTCTTTCTGTCTATATTTTTTGTGAATTAAATAAAACAGTACTATTGTACCTTAAAATATCAGCAGGTTGTATACATTTGGATAAAAATTGTTTATAAATTTATTGTTATTTTAAACTTATTGTGGAAATATTAAAATATATTTTTTTCACTCTAAAAGTTTGACTCTTAAAAAAGACTGAATTATTCCGTATCTGATGTGATGTACAGTATTAAACACTGAACAGTATTATATTAATATATTTCATATACCCTATATGTATTTTTAATTTTAATTTATAACATTAAGTTTATTTTTTAGGAAAAAGAATCGAAATCCAAAGCACAGAAGAAACGTATGGCATGGTATTTAAATCCTAACACATGGTTTCAACCAGAAAATACGGAATATTTAAGTAAATCTAAAGATTTTTCTTTAAAATCTTCAGAAATTGAATAGAACTAATTATTTAACAAAATTCTAAATAAATCTATGCAAAAGTTGTAGATATTTTAAATTGTTATTTGCGTATATTTATTATGATTTTAATATATTTTATGTTATACAAAATATGGGAAAATGTATTCATTTTTGTGTTGAAATTAATTAAAACTAGTTTTTAATTATTTTTCTTTTATTACCATATATTTAAAATTTCATTTGAGAATACTTCATTACAAGAATACATAGAACAGGAAGATATATGGTGAAATTTAGTCCATTTTTGACACTAAAGTAAATGTGTCACTACAATGAAGTGACTGAAGAAATATTTATATAAAATACTGAGGTGTATGCACAAGCTTGACTTCAAAAGTCACCCGATTGGCTGATAATGATACTATTGTCACACGAGTTTGTATCGTGTTTTGTGAATTTAGTACTATTCGTTAGTTGAAGAATATCCCTTTGATCGGTAGCAAATTAATACATGATGCCGCAACTACTTCAGGATCCTTAAATGTTGTATTTAATACTAACAAATGAAACTTAGTATGCATTTATTATTGTATGATACCAAATAGAAATAATAATATATTTAATAGCTGTTTCTTAATGCCTCAAGCAAGTGTTTAGTTTGCTTAGAGGACAATCTACCACTGCTTTGATGGTGAGAATCAAAGGCAGTAGTGAATTCTAAATATGAAAGGCATTCTAGCAGCTGTTTTCAGATATAAAAATATAAAAATTTATTAAATTGTATGTATTACATTCCAAAACTGTTATAAATATTATAACATCAAAAATTATTCATCAATATTATTAATAAAAGATGTTATCTGTGGAAACTGATAATTGTATCAATTAAGTAAACAGTAGATATAATTATCAATAATACAGCAGATCTGTTTAGATCTAATTCATATCTGGGAAAACATGTAAAGTGAGCATTGTATTTTCATAAGTTCAGAGCCAAAATGTCAAGTGGATAAAACCATTAAACACTGGTAGTTGGTCGTGGGTTTGCACCTTGCCACGTGGAGTTTTCTTCATGTTAGTAACACTTAAATAGAGGCCAGTTTCTCAAAAAAGTCCTCCCAGCCTCATGCACAGTACTCACTTCAAACATTTTTCTTCAGAGGGGGATATCTTATAAAAGATATCCCCAGGGGCCCCAGGCAATTGCATTTTTTGTCTGTAGGATAATGTGCCACTGACAAGATCCGACTTATCCGCAATAGACCACCCACAAAAACTTCCTTAGATTATTTGCCAGATCTCCCAGAGCCACAGTTTGAGGCCTTAACCATTGTAGGCCCGAAAGTCCTCACTCACTAATTAAAAGCCCCATTTCTCATTACAATGAATAGAATGAGAAAAGGTTCACAATGAATGAGGGAAGATGAATTTTATTTTCTAATTCAGATAATTTATATAGAAAATTATGTAAATTTATATATAAGATGTCATAACTGTAGATGAAAGATAAATAATTGAAAGAAAGTGTATTTATATCATCTATAAATGATTAAAAGGAAGCTTCTACATAAAAAATCATGCTTTTTTTAAGGAAGAGGAAATGGAGTTTCCTTTATCCTATTTAAAATTGAAATTATTTTATATGTACCAAAATACCATGTTTAAACCAAATGAAACTTTATACATTGGAAGATTATTTCCAGTTAAAATTCCTATTCTGTAATTTAAATAAATATATTAATTACAAGAAATAGTAAGTGTGTGTAAACTTGTAATAAACAATTACAGTTTACACAGACCTAATTGTTTATTATTGTTTTATATCAACCTAATTGGATAAATTACATATATACAATATACATATACAAATATTGTGACAATACTGTAGTTTATTACACAATACAATACCGAAAAACTGGATTAATTGAAGAAATATGTTTTTGTTCAAGTGCATACTTTATCTTATCTTTGTTAAAGTATTATGTTTATAAATTTTTCAATAAAATATTTGTTATATTGAAAATGATTGTTTCTATAACCTATATCATATCTTTTATCGACGACATTTGGACTTTCAGCATCAACAGTTTAATGAGTAGAGCATTCAATTTTAGTAACTTAGTGCATTCTCTTATATCGATATAATATCATATTTATATAAATAAATAAGGGAAAAAAATGTAAAAAATTTATGCAATTAATTGCACTTATTTTCAGAAAAATTAAGCATAAAAAATTATATTTTTCCACACAGAAAATATATGAAATTTTCACCCTTAACTACATTTAAAGAGTTAAAAAAAACTATATTATTGAACAGTATAAAACTGCTTCAATTATATTTAATTAGTTTGTTTTACTTAAGAAATTATCAGTGACATTCCTGTATTGTTTATGTAAAATTTAGAAGTGACAAATAAATTGATATTTATGAATAGAAACGATAACACTGTTCATGGTTATCGCATTAATCATCTGACTGCTGTACTGTACTTCCCTATATAACAGGAGAAAGAAGGAAAGGAACATCAGTAGAAGGCAGAAAAATGGGAAAGTTACTGTTTAACTTCTTGCTATTGACTGTAGCAATATACCCAACTTTGGCAGTACCTTCTACTCTAACACAATTCATACGTTCGAGAAACGAAACGGCCAAATTATTTTTTAAATTATTATCAGAACCACAGATCTTGGATCGCGAATGGAGGAAATTTTACAAATTTGAAGGAATTCCCATTCCAGAAGTAAAGTTGTTGCTGTTATTTTTAGTTTTATTTATGTATAATTTAATTGTTTAATTTATAAATTGTTTGTTTTTATAGGGAGATAAACCGTTACTCGAATTTAGTTGGAGTAATTGTGCACTTTCTGCCCCTTGTCACGTTAAATCTTTGTCTGTTTCTCCGGATCCCATCGATGTTCCTGGTTCTGTAACCGTCAGCTTTGATGTTGTTGTTGCAACGAACTTAACGTCGCCAATACAAGTAAACAATTTTAATTAATGTATAGTTTAATTAAATTAACTGTAACTGAAGCGTAGAGTGAAGTTATGAAAGATCGAGGTCCTGATCTGAATTTTTCATGGGTTGAACCGGATATTTTGAACTTATCGTAGCTTAATTGGGGGCCTATTTTCAGTCTTATCATGGGCTTAAAAACAGCCACACGGTAAGGCCTTGTTCCTTGGTTTCTAGTAGGGCTTGGCAAACTTATGAAATCGAATCTATTCCTCTTTCACGCCTATTTTCATGTCTATTACGAGCATAAATTCAGGTTCTCAATATATTTCTTGCACCCGCACTCAGTTTCCATTGAGGCCTGACCAAACCTGCTTTTGAAAATAGACCTCGGAGAGGAAATTATGAGTTTAGATTAGATAATTTAGATTAGATAATTTAGATTAGATTATTAATAATTTTACTTAAATTCATATTTGGATGATAAAACATTTAAATATAATTTAGTTTGAATTAATTAGCACTTGAAATTTATGTTCATTTGTTTAAAATATCTTACAGTATATCAATCAGTATCAACAAGACAAACCGTAACAATTTATATTTATGATTCATTGTAGGGGAGGAAGTGACGTTTGAAATTTGCCTTTTATGTTCATTAAATGCAATTGAAATTGATAAACTTCTTAATAGTTATTATCAAATTAAAAATTGTTAATTATAAGGAAAATTGACTGGCAATTAGTGTAATATTTAATTATATTACACTAATTGACGTATACACACTACACACGTAAATAATATATTTACGGATATAGAGGGTGGCCCAAAAGTCAGTAAACCACGGTATATTTTTAACAGTTAAATATGTAGAATGGATAAATTATCGTAGATCTTTCACTTCTACTTTTATTATTATTATTATTATTTATTTTTTTTACTTTTTCTGCCCTGTGTGTACTAAGAGGGCCTTTTATCATGCCATTTGTGCGTTGAGCCAAGCCACAATGGGACGGGTTTACATATAGTCTGAAATGTTCCTACAGTTTTCTCTGGGGTCTTAGGCTGAAGACTTAACAGCCTCATCCATTATCAGATTCTCGGTTAGTAAAGCGGGAATCGAACCTGGACTCTTACGCAAGGCAGATTCCTTCCTTTAAATTAAAAACGTCTGAATTGTTCTAACTGTAACTAAATATAATAACCTGCCATGGATTACACGCGCGGATAACACCACTGAACATCTGTTGCACAGTCGCGGGTTCGCGCCTCGGCCATGTGGAGTTTCTTAGGTTTATTGTGCGTGTTATCTAACACTAAATAAGGACCAGTTTCTTATTGAAATTCCTCGGCGAGGCACCCTCTTTGACAGATCGTGTGTTGGATTACCTTATTTCATCAATCCAATCCTAATAGACCCACCTTACGACTTAGCTATGAGATTGTCGTAAGTCGAGGGAAATTGTACCAGTGATAAAACGGGGTACAATTAACAACTTATTTTTAAATTAGCTTTTTTTCCTTTGTTTTCCATAGGTTGATATCAAAATGAAGAAGAAAGTGTACTTCGTTTGGGTTGAAGTACCTTGCATGGACAATATAGGTAGCTGTTCCTATTCGGATTTTTGCGATCTTGTTCCTACCACATGCCCTTCATTTGTAAAGAAAGCTGGATTACCTTGTAAATGCCCAGTTATTGAGGTATGATAAAAACAATTAATATTACATAAATACTTTGCTAGTAATTATGTTATTGTAAATATAAAATTTATTAGTTTATAAATATTTAATGTTCTACGCTTTCATTTCGTTTAAGCGCAGCGGATACTTACTTAATTTGTTACTGGAAACTGTTGTTAAGTGGGCCAAATCGAATTCAAATTTCCCATAAACTCAGTGACCACGTGAAGATTTTTGGCTTTTCTTCACATGTCTAACATGTCTTTTCTCAAATTTTTCACCTTTTTTTTAACACTCGGTGTGGGCGGTACATCTTAAATGATGAGTAATGATACGGATAACAATACCATTAAGAATTATATTGAATTATTGTAGAGTTTAAATACGAGTAGATACTATACATGTACTAAATTTGTCGAAATCGGTGATAACAACCTCCCGGGTTCCCCTTCTAAGTACTGATCATGCTATTGAGTTAGCATATACATATCTAAACAATGCAGGACTGTCTTTAACGCATGACCTGATGGGTATTTGCCAGTAGACCCCACAAGGACGGGGCTCCATATTAATCTATGTTTATTTACCCATCAACGCATCAATTCCTGCGAGTAGTTGACTCCAGTACACTGCTTTGCCCAAGGCCCATAATGGTCCTGATACAATGTACTGATATTAACAAAACAATACACAGTAACACAAAACACTGATAAAATATTGAATAATAATTATACTTGTATTTAAATTTAATTTAAATAATAAAAATATTTAATGATTATCATCTTTTCTAGGGAGAATACAAGCTCGATCCTACTACTGTCGAAATACCTAACATTCCTTTACCTTCTTTTCTCGAAGATGGCGACTATAAAGCTACAGTCAATGGATTTCATAATGGAAAACAATTGTTTTGCTACAATGTAGCGTTTTCATTACATAAAAATTAATATTTTTTTCTCTAATATACTGTACTTGTTTGGGTTTTGGTTTATTTTTGTTATTCGTCCGTTTTTGTATCATAATTATGTAATAAATATATATATATATAAATGCGAGTGTGTTTGTTGGTAATACACTTCTTGGCCATTCGACCAATTGCTACGAAACTCGATACCGTGTTTCCCCGAAAATAAGACATCCTCTGAAAATAAGATCTAGCTAAGGTTTTGCTGAATTGCTAAATATACGGCCTCCCCCGAAAGTAAGACCTAGCAAAGTTTTTTTTTTACTCGTAACCGTCCATGACAGATAGTTGAAAGTGGCCGTTGGCTTTTTGAAAGTACAGCCAATGATTGGTCAGCCGACAAACACGCCACACGGCATGATTTGCATAAGACTATGACTTCGGAATCACAGATTTGCGTAACGTTACGGCTGGTGATCGCTAATTGGTCGACCGGGAATCACGCCACATCATACTTGCATAGTGCTACGGTTCAGTAAGCACTAATTGGTCATCGAGCCCGACGTCGACGCTATAAAAAAAAGTTAAGTTGAAACGGGAGAGAGAAGTCCACTCTCGCACGGGAACTTTGTAAGTTCACTTCGGTTTTATTTGAGTTCAGTTCGACACGACCTGATATACGTCACTCTAGTCTAACTTGGACTTGGGAATTTTTTTGTTCAACAATGAATGTGAATTCTTCATGGAAAAATAAGGCATTCTCTGAAAATAAGACCTAGTGCATCTTTGAGAGCAAGAATTAATATAAGACACTGTCTTATTTTCGGGGAAACAGGGTAGTTACGTTTAAATACTTCTAACTTAGATCATGTCGTACAGTACATCCCACCCCAAAACATCAATTGCATTATATAATACAGTAAAACCTGTCTATGGCGACCACCCACGGTTCCTTCAAAACGTGGTTTTTTAGACAGGTGGTCGTCCAATACAGGTGGTCCTGTAATAATGTATTTCCGTACGTATTTTGCGCACTTTTTAGCCATTTCTACTAAAATACAAAACTCGAGGTGTGCAAAATAAGCGAATTTTTTTCAATGATAGAGCTATTGGTATTAGCGAGGTTGCGGTCGAAGTTTTCAACGCGAAAACGTGTACGTCGGATGTTCAGCGCCGCCTTCCTGTAAACTTAGAAGTTTGACAAATAGCATTTGGAACGTCAGTGGGATCATGCTCGACGTTCCAAACGCCATTGTCAAACTTCTAGGTTTACAGGAAGGCGGCGCTGAACATCCGACCTACACGTTTTCGCGTTGAAAACTTCGACCGCAACCTCTCTATTGTATTTTATTCTTATCGGATAACCCGATTTACAGGCGTCGTCGTGATATTATAAGGCAGATTTAATACCAATATTTTACAGATTAATACAATACTCGCATTTTCTCGATTATAATGAACACTTTCTTTTTTCCGACTTAACTAATTCGAGTCTGTTCTCTTCGTTCGCTTTTCGGTTACGTGTATTACGTCATCGATATACAAGCGCGTCCTATCTCTCTCACTTTGGTTTTCGTTACTTTAATCTTAATTTAACTTTTAAAATACTGTATTTTTTAAATATTTAATATTTTCTTAAGTACAATAAGAAAAATTATTAATTAATTAATAAAACGATTTTATTATTTTTTCTTATAATACGATTTCATTACATTCCGCGATTGTAATCGGACAATTGCAGAATCGAAAAAGGAAGGTTGCCTGGAAACTGATTTTTGCATTAATACGTTTATTGTTTTTTGAATGTTTTGCGTGCGAAAATTACTTGGATATTATTTTTCTAAAAATATCGTAGAAATAAGGTANTGATTTTGGAGGTTACAGAAAGTATTAAATTACTTTAAAAAATGAAAAATAATTATATCATTTGATTTTAAGATATTTTGTATATCTTAAAAATAATTAATTCTATCCCGGGAAACAGTTCACTTTTATCCCGGAATCCCGGGACAAGCAAAAGACCGGGAAATGAGAAACCCTAATTGTTATAATGACAGGCTGCAATTTTTAATCATTTTTAATTTAAAATATATGCTCTCCACTTCAAATTAGTACTGTAGTGTCTTGCACCTGTACATCATACTTTTCCGTTAGCAATAGAGTCCTGCCGGTCATCTATCTAGCTCCTTTCAGGGGAAATTTTTGAATTGAAATAACGTGGCTTCCAGTTTGCATCGGACGTTTTTATATAGTTGATCGGGGTCTCCTGTTCCTAATCTTTCTATATCTGGTCTTGAATTTCATTTATCTAACACCGTTATTGAGATTAAGACGGACGGACTATAGTGGGAATTTATGTCTGCAATTTTTTTCAAATTGCAGCCCAATAATTTTGATATTCAATGACACGAATTCAAGAACGGATCGTTGGGCTCTAAGCTCAGTTCAGCTAATATTTGCTAGCAAAAATCAATTTAATTTCACATACCTGTTTGATTCATTACTATTTCACAGAATGAGCAATCATGAAACAGCCATCGCCGTTAAAAGAACATAGAACGAACATAATTAAAATGTATATTATTCGTAGCTGCTGTGTTTAAAGAAACCCCCGAATATGTGCCGCTATTCTGCGCCGATGTTAACATGTGTTCGTGGGATTTCCCGGATACCAAGGGGGTACGCAATGTGGGCTGCAGCCCCTCTCAAATCGAATGACAAAATTAATATTTAATTTATAATTAATATATACAGAATGCTTCAAGAAATGTTAACACTTATCTAAACTATAATTTTTAATGGAAACTTACGGAATAATGTGCTATTGCATTATTATGAAGGAAGTCAGCATAGCGTCAGAAAATTCAGCTGCATTGGTTGTTAGGATGTGTCACCAAATATGAGAGAATGACAGTTTGTTTCATGAAAAAAATTATGGTCAGGCTGATATTTGATATCCTATATCTCCCCTTTATGGTAAAGGAGAAAAGGAAAGGAAAGTGAAGAGAGGGAGGAGAATCAAATTTTAACAGTGAAGGTATAAGATTCGTGGAAAACTGTAATCAAAAGTCATACTGGAAATCCACAGAGATTGATGAAGAGGAAGAAATAAGTTTCATGAAGAGAACTAATAATTTGATGACAATATTATTACAAGTGTTTGTTCACAATTCATAAAATTAAAGAGAATTGCCATTATTTTCAACACTAGTCTGGAACTTTTTCCTGGGGATCTTGATAAAAATGCTTATCAAGAAATATGCTTCTGAGGTTTTTTCATGATGCATTTGTGTTAACACTTTATTGAAGTATTCTGTAGCATTAGTATGATATATTTCTAATAGCATTGTGTAATTTCAGAAATAAGATGAAGACAAAGAAGAAAGCAGTGACTAACCCATACAGAAAATTTCTGTTAAGATTAGAAGATAATACATTACCTATGACTATTCAAAACAGAGATGAACAACTAGTAAGAGAACATGTAAGGATACTTTTGATTATTATTATTCAATACATTTCTCAGGATATTTACAATATAAACTGTACATTTGTTGTTTTAGAAATATCATAAAGAAATACTAGGTCTTCCTAGGTCTTCCACAAACAATGCTAGTAACCCATTTTAAAGTACTGTAATTATATTAATTATTACTTGAGATGGATGCAATGTACAACAATCAATAAAGTAACGGTCCAAATTTCATCTACAATCTGTATTCAAATGTCTTGTTGTCTAATGTTTCTAGGAAGTACCGTAAACAAAACTGGCGACTCTGCAGCAACAGTGAAGGCAATTTGTGTTCTGCAGTTTACAAAGTCTGAATCATTCAGCATTCTGCAATGTGAGTAATCTGCAGGAGCTTTAGAATTGTAGCTTCTATAGGAGGAGTGATAATGGATATGCTGTTGCAAATGTAAGAAAAGTTTGAGAATCAGTTGGATGTGTGTTTTGTAACATCAAGTGCACCCACTGAGAAATTGTAATGAGTAAATGTGAAAGTTGGACAGTTTTCCAATGTTTCAAAGTACACTACAATGTTCTCAGATAATAATTCACATAATAACAATAATTTAAAATGGTAATATTCTTTGTGGAAGACTTTGTGTATATGATTAATTTAAAATTAATCAAGTATAGTTTTATTAACTTTATTATTAGACAGCTAGACTGAAGTAGTTGTATGTGTCTGTTACTCTAATAGATTTGAATTTGAATTCAAATTTATTTGGAACTTTGTTATGTTGGTCTCTACTCCTCCCCACCTGGTCATCCCATTATAGATCTGACCAAGTATGTGATGGGCAAGACAAAAGAGTTCTCCCAAGCTTTCTTCCTTCCACATGGTAAAGGAATTTTAAAAATTCCATAGAGCAATAGAAATTGTCCAGCTCGTGACAGTTATAGGCTTGCAATAGGTTCAATTTTTGCTTCCAGATATTATTAAATGAATTAATTTAAAACTTTTAACACTACTTGATATTGGCCAAATATTTGCTCGTAATTTAGTGAATACTGGCTTAAGTGTTTTCAATAAAATATACAGGAGAAGAATCCAAATAAACATTAAAAAAAACGTTGATCTTACATTTTGTAATGAGGAAGAAACAATTTTCTTATACTGCTTTTATTTTTTGTTTTAAGACTAGATGTATCAAGCCTAAACTACATGGTTATTTTTTTAAACTATGCTTTCTGGATGTATGAGGTAAACAAAATTTTAATATAGAATTAGGAATGTTTTATGAGTGATCTCAGTCAGACATATTGAGATTCATTCCAAATTATGCCACTAATTCATTGCAGATTTATCCAAAGGATTGCCCATAAATATGGACAATCCTTATGGTTATGTAATTTATGGACAAAGGATTGTCCATAAATTACATAACATAAATATGGGTGAGTATGCATTACAAGGAGTGAGGTATTTACAGTAACATTATGTAATGCTATGGTCTTAACCCTTATATAATGGAAGATTTATTTTTTCTCTGAAGTGTTGCATAACAATTCATAATGTTTGTGCTAATGCTTTGTTCATTACACAAGTAATTACACAAGTAATTAATTAAAATAATGTAATGCTTGGTACCCTGTGCTGTGTGTTATTCCTTAGTGCAGTTAAGATGATTAATTAAGGATATATGTTATGTAATTTGGGGCTATGTGCTTATGGTATTATACAACATTACAAGAAAGTGAGCTGGTAGTTGAAAAGTATTAAAATGGCATTATGTAATTTATGGACATTTTCCAAATCCTATGTCAAGGGTGGCAAACCTATGGCGTGCATGCCCAAAGTGACACATTGGGACGCACATAATGTGTCATATGGTTTATTACCCATTTTTTTATTATCCTTTTTTCAATCAGTTTTACATTTATTCCAATTAAAGCATGCTTGTTTCATTTTTTAAATATCATTATTCAAAGTCCAAAACTTCCACACACATATATATTTTTAAAGATAATTATGTTCACTATATGGAACATGGACTCAAAAAGTTTGCCATCTCTGTCCTATTTGATACCATAAGAATATCCTTTAATGGGCTGATAGCTGCCGAAGAATGGACCCTGATATATTTGATTATATAATCCACAGAAAATTTCTTAAGAATTTAATCCAGCTTCTATCCTAGATTCTCAGAACTGTAGACATTCATATTTGCAGCTTCAGTTATCTGTCCAATTATAATTATTAATGTTAAATAACAACTATTATGCAGAGATTTTTGTCTTATTTAAATCAACTATTAGAGTATATTTAATTTATTTTTATTTACAGATCACTTATATTAACAAAATAATTTTAATAATATATAATAGACACTTTTATATGAGTATATTTAAATTGGTTTGTCTATTTTTATAGATTTATATTTAACTAGAATTAAATTGAGAATCACCTCTTATGCATAACTCATACATGTATGGCAATATAATATTTAACATTTTTGTAAATTGTAATCATTATTTATCGTAGATGATTTTGAATGCAGGTGTGTTGCTTAATGATGGGAATACATTTCAAGAAATACATCATTAAGCAAATATCATAGAGTGTATTTGAACAAACCTTGATATGATGATAAATGATGATATAAACTTTGATATAACCTTGATTTGATATAATCTACTACTCATATAGGGTATATATAATATAGTTATGACATTATGTAACTAAACATAGAAAAGGTACAGCCAGCTATGAACTTTTTAGCTCCATTATAATCTTATGAGACTTCTGTCATATAAGTGGCACATACTTGTATAATCATTTATTCTTTTCAAATTGATTAATAATGATTTAATAATGATAATAATTATTATTAAATAATGAATTGTTGTAATCATTTAGTTGTGTGTAATTTGTTTATTGTGTTTTACTAGTTATAACTTCTTTATACTTACATATAAAGGAAGAGAAAAAAAGGCAGAGTAGGCATAATTATTCCTCTTACCAAGTGAATTTGTGTTATTTTACTGAAAGATGCATGCCTCACTTATCAGTCTTTATCTCTTCAATGTTTTATTTTATATATAATAAAACTAGATATGGTTATATTTAGATTAATTGAGTATTTAAATAGTTTGGAAGTGAAGATCAGATGAAGGTTGTACTATAACTGGAAACATATCTACATGTAAGGTGAACAATCATCCTCCTTTAGGGAAGACAGTTCTCCTTTTGTAAGTTCTATCCTCCCTCAAAAAGTGTCCTCCTACATGTCCTCCTTTTCAATATTTGAAGATTAATCTGTAAATCTCCATATTTGATCAATGCTGAGCTGATCCATTGCATGTGATGTGATGTGACGTGTTTGTATTTGACATGATAATTCATCAAGGGTTGGTACAGTGCTGTGAGACGCGATTATGAGATAATGCACTCCACACGGGAGACCTTGAAAGAGCACGCCGCACACAAGTGGCTTTGTTTCCTTCTTACCAAAACACGACACGACACATACACATGCAGTAGAGATTATTATAGTGTATTATTGTTGAAATGAATAAAATGTTTCTTTTATTTACAATATTTTTTTCTTCAATTTATTTGTGTCCTTTTTTTCATTGTAAAAAAGTTGGTCACATTACTACATGGTAGTAAGGTAGAGTTGCAGGTTTGCATCTCTCCTGGCCAATCTTTTCTTCTACAATATTCTAAAATTAATTGATTTATAATTAGTATATTTAACAAGAGATGACAGCCTGGCAACCTACCTCCTGCAAAATTGCTTAGCAATTATTTATCTGACTGTTCATTTGATTCTATTTTTTTATACAATAAACCTTGCACTTAAATTAAAAATATTGTTTATGGAAACATTGTATGGCTAGACATGAATTATAATTGAAGTTAAGAAGGTATCATAGATCACCATTAATGACATTCATTATTTGAAAATTTTATTCTATCAAATTATCTTATTAAAATAAAAATTATACCAAAAATAATAATTTAAATTTATTTAATTTCTATAATTAAAATAGTAAATTTTAATAAAATAATTTACAGAATGAAAAGAGAGCCTTTGAAATAGCCAAACGATTTAGTGAATGGACTGGTGACATGAAAGGAGAAAGAAAACCGAATGAAGACGATAGTGAAAAATACAAACCTATTATCGATCCTTCAGTTATTTTGCATAATTTTCAAGCAGACGAAATTTTGGCTCATCCCGAACAAAATATTGTTATTAACATAAAAGAATTGTTTCCTGTTCCTGATGAACTTCGTCATTTGGCTTCATCAGAACAATTGAAACAGTTAAATGTCAACGATATATTTAAAGTAAGTTCGATCAATTACTTAACGTATAAGAATTGATTTTATAGTTTCAAATTGCAACGAATTAACAATTACTTCATTTACTATAATTGTGATACACATATATACAGTGATAACATTTCTTCAACAAACAAAATATTCAAAATTAACCTTGAAAAACAAGTAAATTTGAATAGTAAGCAGTGCTGAATAAACTTGTCAAGATGATGTCAAACATATCTGATTCAAATTCTTTTCTCAGACCATAACATTTTAAAAAGCTCTAAAGGCTTTTGTATTTTATATCGTGTTATTTTTCAACCTTTTTTTATCTCATGGCACACTCGAATCTATAATTAAATTTCCATGGAAAAATTCACGTGATTTAAAGTTGTGTTTGTAAACATTCTATTGCTCTATTACATGCCTCAGCTTAATTCTTTCTGTCTATATTTTTTGTGAATTAAATAAAACAGTACTATTGTACCTTAAAATATCAGCAGGTTGTATACATTTGGATAAAAATTGTTTATAAATTTATTGTTATTTTAAACTTATTGTGGAAATATTAAAATATATTTTTTTCACTCTAAAAGTTTGACTCTTAAAAAAGACTTTGAATTATTCCGTATCTGATGTGATGTACAGTATTAAACACTGAACAGTATTATATTAATATATTTCATATACCCTATATGTATTTTTAATTTTAATTTATAACATTAAGTTTATTTTTTAGGAAAAAGAATCGAAATCCAAAGCACAGAAGAAACGTATGGCATGGTATTTAAATCCTAACACATGGTTTCAACCAGAAAATACGGAATATTTAAGTAAATCTAAAGATTTTTCTTTAAAATCTTCAGAAATTGAATAGAACTAATTATTTAACAAAATTCTAAATAAATCTATGCAAAAGTTGTAGATATTTTAAATTGTTATTTGCGTATATTTATTATGATTTTAATATATTTTATGTTATACAAAATATGGGAAAATGTATTCATTTTTGTGTTGAAATTAATTAAAACTAGTTTTTAATTATTTTTCTTTTATTACCATATATTTAAAATTTCATTTGAGAATACTTCATTACAAGAATACATAGAACAGGAAGATATATGGTGAAATTTAGTCCATTTTTGACACTAAAGTAAATGTGTCACTACAATGAAGTGACTGAAGAAATATTTATATAAAATACTGAGGTGTATGCACAAGCTTGACTTCAAAAGTCACCCGATTGGCTGATAATGATACTATTGTCACACGAGTTTGTATCGTGTTTTGTGAATTTAGTACTATTCGTTAGTTGAAGAATATCCCTTTGATCGGTAGCAAATTAATACATGATGCCGCAACTACTTCAGGATCCTTAAATGTTGTATTTAATACTAACAAATGAAACTTAGTATGCATTTATTATTGTATGATACCAAATAGAAATAATAATATATTTAATAGCTGTTTCTTAATGCCTCAAGCAAGTGTTTAGTTTGCTTAGAGGACAATCTACCACTGCTTTGATGGTGAGAATCAAAGGCAGTAGTGAATTCTAAATATGAAAGGCATTCTAGCAGCTGTTTTCAGATATAAAAATATAAAAATTTATTAAATTGTATGTATTACATTCCAAAACTGTTATAAATATTATAACATCAAAAATTATTCATCAATATTATTAATAAAAGATGTTATCTGTGGAAACTGATAATTGTATCAATTAAGTAAACAGTAGATATAATTATCAATAATACAGCAGATCTGTTTAGATCTAATTCATATCTGGGAAAACATGTAAAGTGAGCATTGTATTTTCATAAGTTCAGAGCCAAAATGTCAAGTGGATAAAACCATTAAACACTGGTAGTTGGTCGTGGGTTTGCACCTTGCCACGTGGAGTTTTCTTCATGTTAGTAACACTTAAATAGAGGCCAGTTTCTCAAAAAAGTCCTCCCAGCCTCATGCACAGTACTCACTTCAAACATTTTTCTTCAGAGGGGGATATCTTATAAAAGATATCCCCAGGGGCCCCAGGCAATTGCATTTTTTGTCTGTAGGATAATGTGCCACTGACAAGATCCGACTTATCCGCAATAGACCACCCACAAAAACTTCCTTAGATTATTTGCCAGATCTCCCAGAGCCACAGTTTGAGGCCTTAACCATTGTAGGCCCGAAAGTCCTCACTCACTAATTAAAAGCCCCATTTCTCATTACAATGAATAGAATGAGAAAAGGTTCACAATGAATGAGGGAAGATGAATTTTATTTTCTAATTCAGATAATTTATATAGAAAATTATGTAAATTTATATATAAGATGTCATAACTGTAGATGAAAGATAAATAATTGAAAGAAAGTGTATTTATATCATCTATAAATGATTAAAAGGAAGCTTCTACATAAAAAATCATGCTTTTTTTAAGGAAGAGGAAATGGAGTTTCCTTTATCCTATTTAAAATTGAAATTATTTTATATGTACCAAAATACCATGTTTAAACCAAATGAAACTTTATACATTGGAAGATTATTTCCAGTTAAAATTCCTATTCTGTAATTTAAATAAATATATTAATTACAAGAAATAGTAAGTGTGTGTAAACTTGTAATAAACAATTACAGTTTACACAGACCTAATTGTTTATTATTGTTTTATATCAACCTAATTGGATAAATTACATATATACAATATACATATACAAATATTGTGACAATACTGTAGTTTATTACACAATACAATACCGAAAAACTGGATTAATTGAAGAAATATGTTTTTGTTCAAGTGCATACTTTATCTTATCTTTGTTAAAGTATTATGTTTATAAATTTTTCAATAAAATATTTGTTATATTGAAAATGATTGTTTCTATAACCTATATCATATCTTTTATCGACGACATTTGGACTTTCAGCATCAACAGTTTAATGAGTAGAGCATTCAATTTTAGTAACTTAGTGCATTCTCTTATATCGATATAATATCATATTTATATAAATAAATAAGGGAAAAAAATGTAAAAAATTTATGCAATTAATTGCACTTATTTTCAGAAAAATTAAGCATAAAAAATTATATTTTTCCACACAGAAAATATATGAAATTTTCACCCTTAACTACATTTAAAGAGTTAAAAAAAACTATATTATTGAACAGTATAAAACTGCTTCAATTATATTTAATTAGTTTGTTTTACTTAAGAAATTATCAGTGACATTCCTGTATTGTTTATGTAAAATTTAGAAGTGACAAATAAATTGATATTTATGAATAGAAACGATAACACTGTTCATGGTTATCGCATTAATCATCTGACTGCTGTACTGTACTTCCCTATATAACAGGAGAAAGAAGGAAAGGAACATCAGTAGAAGGCAGAAAAATGGGAAAGTTACTGTTTAACTTCTTGCTATTGACTGTAGCAATATACCCAACTTTGGCAGTACCTTCTACTCTAACACAATTCATACGTTCGAGAAACGAAACGGCCAAATTATTTTTTAAATTATTATCAGAACCACAGATCTTGGATCGCGAATGGAGGAAATTTTACAAATTTGAAGGAATTCCCATTCCAGAAGTAAAGTTGTTGCTGTTATTTTTAGTTTTATTTATGTATAATTTAATTGTTTAATTTATAAATTGTTTGTTTTTATAGGGAGATAAACCGTTACTCGAATTTAGTTGGAGTAATTGTGCACTTTCTGCCCCTTGTCACGTTAAATCTTTGTCTGTTTCTCCGGATCCCATCGATGTTCCTGGTTCTGTAACCGTCAGCTTTGATGTTGTTGTTGCAACGAACTTAACGTCGCCAATACAAGTAAACAATTTTAATTAATGTATAGTTTAATTAAATTAACTGTAACTGAAGCGTAGAGTGAAGTTATGAAAGATCGAGGTCCTGATCTGAATTTTTCATGGGTTGAACCGGATATTTTGAACTTATCGTAGCTTAATTGGGGGCCTATTTTCAGTCTTATCATGGGCTTAAAAACAGCCACACGGTAAGGCCTTGTTCCTTGGTTTCTAGTAGGGCTTGGCAAACTTATGAAATCGAATCTATTCCTCTTTCACGCCTATTTTCATGTCTATTACGAGCATAAATTCAGGTTCTCAATATATTTCTTGCACCCGCACTCAGTTTCCATTGAGGCCTGACCAAACCTGCTTTTGAAAATAGACCTCGGAGAGGAAATTATGAGTTTAGATTAGATAATTTAGATTAGATTATTAATAATTTTACTTAAATTCATATTTGGATGATAAAACATTTAAATATAATTTAGTTTGAATTAATTAGCACTTGAAATTTATGTTCATTTGTTTAAAATATCTTACAGTATATCAATCAGTATCAACAAGACAAACCGTAACAATTTATATTTATGATTCATTGTAGGGGAGGAAGTGACGTTTGAAATTTGCCTTTTATGTTCATTAAATGCAATTGAAATTGATAAACTTCTTAATAGTTATTATCAAATTAAAAATTGTTAATTATAAGGAAAATTGACTGGCAATTAGTGTAATATTTAATTATATTACACTAATTGACGTATACACACTACACACGTAAATAATATATTTACGGATATAGAGGGTGGCCCAAAAGTCAGTAAACCACGGTATATTTTTAACAGTTAAATATGTAGAATGGATAAATTATCGTAGATCTTTCACTTCTACTTTTATTATTATTATTATTATTTATTTTTTTTACTTTTTCTGCCCTGTGTGTACTAAGAGGGCCTTTTATCATGCCATTTGTGCGTTGAGCCAAGCCACAATGGGACGGGTTTACATATAGTCTGAAATGTTCCTACAGTTTTCTCTGGGGTCTTAGGCTGAAGACTTAACAGCCTCATCCATTATCAGATTCTCGGTTAGTAAAGCGGGAATCGAACCTGGACTCTTACGCAAGGCAGATTCCTTCCTTTAAATTAAAAACGTCTGAATTGTTCTAACTGTAACTAAATATAATAACCTGCCATGGATTACACGCGCGGATAACACCACTGAACATCTGTTGCACAGTCGCGGGTTCGCGCCTCGGCCATGTGGAGTTTCTTAGGTTTATTGTGCGTGTTATCTAACACTAAATAAGGACCAGTTTCTTATTGAAATTCCTCGGCGAGGCACCCTCTTTGACAGATCGTGTGTTGGATTACCTTATTTCATCAATCCAATCCTAATAGACCCACCTTACGACTTAGCTATGAGATTGTCGTAAGTCGAGGGAAATTGTACCAGTGATAAAACGGGGTACAATTAACAACTTATTTTTAAATTAGCTTTTTTTCCTTTGTTTTCCATAGGTTGATATCAAAATGAAGAAGAAAGTGTACTTCGTTTGGGTTGAAGTACCTTGCATGGACAATATAGGTAGCTGTTCCTATTCGGATTTTTGCGATCTTGTTCCTACCACATGCCCTTCATTTGTAAAGAAAGCTGGATTACCTTGTAAATGCCCAGTTATTGAGGTATGATAAAAACAATTAATATTACATAAATACTTTGCTAGTAATTATGTTATTGTAAATATAAAATTTATTAGTTTATAAATATTTAATGTTCTACGCTTTCATTTCGTTTAAGCGCAGCGGATACTTACTTAATTTGTTACTGGAAACTGTTGTTAAGTGGGCCAAATCGAATTCAAATTTCCCATAAACTCAGTGACCACGTGAAGATTTTTGGCTTTTCTTCACATGTCTAACATGTCTTTTCTCAAATTTTTCACCTTTTTTTTAACACTCGGTGTGGGCGGTACATCTTAAATGATGAGTAATGATACGGATAACAATACCATTAAGAATTATATTGAATTATTGTAGAGTTTAAATACGAGTAGATACTATACATGTACTAAATTTGTCGAAATCGGTGATAACAACCTCCCGGGTTCCCCTTCTAAGTACTGATCATGCTATTGAGTTAGCATATACATATCTAAACAATGCAGGACTGTCTTTAACGCATGACCTGATGGGTATTTGCCAGTAGACCCCACAAGGACGGGGCTCCATATTAATCTATGTTTATTTACCCATCAACGCATCAATTCCTGCGAGTAGTTGACTCCAGTACACTGCTTTGCCCAAGGCCCATAATGGTCCTGATACAATGTACTGATATTAACAAAACAATACACAGTAACACAAAACACTGATAAAATATTGAATAATAATTATACTTGTATTTAAATTTAATTTAAATAATAAAAATATTTAATGATTATCATCTTTTCTAGGGAGAATACAAGCTCGATCCTACTACTGTCGAAATACCTAACATTCCTTTACCTTCTTTTCTCGAAGATGGCGACTATAAAGCTACAGTCAATGGATTTCATAATGGAAAACAATTGTTTTGCTACAATGTAGCGTTTTCATTACATAAAAATTAATATTTTTTTCTCTAATATACTGTACTTGTTTGGGTTTTGGTTTATTTTTGTTATTCGTCCGTTTTTGTATCATAATTATGTAATAAATATATATATATATAAATGCGAGTGTGTTTGTTGGTAATACACTTCTTGGCCATTCGACCAATTGCTACGAAACTCGATACCGTGTTTCCCCGAAAATAAGACATCCTCTGAAAATAAGATCTAGCTAAGGTTTTGCTGAATTGCTAAATATACGGCCTCCCCCGAAAGTAAGACCTAGCAAAGTTTTTTTTTTACTCGTAACCGTCCATGACAGATAGTTGAAAGTGGCCGTTGGCTTTTTGAAAGTACAGCCAATGATTGGTCAGCCGACAAACACGCCACACGGCATGATTTGCATAAGACTATGACTTCGGAATCACAGATTTGCGTAACGTTACGGCTGGTGATCGCTAATTGGTCGACCGGGAATCACGCCACATCATACTTGCATAGTGCTACGGTTCAGTAAGCACTAATTGGTCATCGAGCCCGACGTCGACGCTATAAAAAAAAGTTAAGTTGAAACGGGAGAGAGAAGTCCACTCTCGCACGGGAACTTTGTAAGTTCACTTCGGTTTTATTTGAGTTCAGTTCGACACGACCTGATATACGTCACTCTAGTCTAACTTGGACTTGGGAATTTTTTTGTTCAACAATGAATGTGAATTCTTCATGGAAAAATAAGGCATTCTCTGAAAATAAGACCTAGTGCATCTTTGAGAGCAAGAATTAATATAAGACACTGTCTTATTTTCGGGGAAACAGGGTAGTTACGTTTAAATACTTCTAACTTAGATCATGTCGTACAGTACATCCCACCCCAAAACATCAATTGCATTATATAATACAGTAAAACCTGTCTATGGCGACCACCCACGGTTCCTTCAAAACGTGGTTTTTTAGACAGGTGGTCGTCCAATACAGGTGGTCCTGTAATAATGTATTTCCGTACGTATTTTGCGCACTTTTTAGCCATTTCTACTAAAATACAAAACTCGAGGTGTGCAAAATAAGCGAATTTTTTTCAATGATAGAGCTATTGGTATTAGCGAGGTTGCGGTCGAAGTTTTCAACGCGAAAACGTGTACGTCGGATGTTCAGCGCCGCCTTCCTGTAAACTTAGAAGTTTGACAAATAGCATTTGGAACGTCAGTGGGATCATGCTCGACGTTCCAAACGCCATTGTCAAACTTCTAGGTTTACAGGAAGGCGGCGCTGAACATCCGACCTACACGTTTTCGCGTTGAAAACTTCGACCGCAACCTCTCTATTGTATTTTATTCTTATCGGATAACCCGATTTACAGGCGTCGTCGTGATATTATAAGGCAGATTTAATACCAATATTTTACAGATTAATACAATACTCGCATTTTCTCGATTATAATGAACACTTTCTTTTTTCCGACTTAACTAATTCGAGTCTGTTCTCTTCGTTCGCTTTTCGGTTACGTGTATTACGTCATCGATATACAAGCGCGTCCTATCTCTCTCACTTTGGTTTTCGTTACTTTAATCTTAATTTAACTTTTAAAATACTGTATTTTTTAAATATTTAATATTTTCTTAAGTACAATAAGAAAAATTATTAATTAATTAATAAAACGATTTTATTATTTTTTCTTATAATACGATTTCATTACATTCCGCGATTGTAATCGGACAATTGCAGAATCGAAAAAGGAAGGTTGCCTGGAAACTGATTTTTGCATTAATACGTTTATTGTTTTTTGAATGTTTTGCGTGCGAAAATTACTTGGATATTATTTTTCTAAAAATATCGTAGAAATAAGGTAGGTTGATACAGAAACTATTTATCGCACATGTACCGTATATAAGCTTTAAATAATAATAATTAATAAATAAATTTTATCAAACGATGAGATCAGCCAATTAATTGTATCTTGTACAATATTTTATACCCCTAAAGGAAAATACTGTAGGTCTATGGTAAAATAAATTTCGTTTTCCCACAGTTAAAATTTCGCTGCTAATTGCCGTTGTGATAAACCATTTTCTTTCACTTTGATAATTTTAATTTTAACACGATCTTCTAACGACAGCACTTTGTATTTCTTTCGTTTTTCGGACATTTTCCAACAAACTGAAATGAATTTCCTTTGTTGCTAGACTAATTTATTAACACCTGCACCTAATTTCAAGGGTGGGAGAAGTGCCCAGTGTGGGTTCGAACAAGAGTTTAGACTAATTCATTATATTAGGAGGGAGAAACGTTGTTGAGATGGGTTCGAACAATAGTTTAGACCAGATATATTTGCGGAAGTGCTCGCTTATTACAGTTATATGTTGTTTCGGACCAAAAATTGATGCTCACGGTTGCGTTACATAGGTGGTCGTTTAATTAATACAGGTAACTTATACGAACACTCTATGGATAAACTATTCGGTGCCAGAAAATTTTGCCCGTTTTGACAGATGCCCGTCGAATGTACGTGGTCGCCTAAGCAGTTTTCGCTGTATTCACTGAATTACTGTGACAATGATATAGCGTGAAATAGATAGTCTATTACTGCGATACGTAGCACATAGCACTTGCCTGTGTGGAGTATAGTAGTGTTTTGCCCCCGAACATCATACTTTTCTTGTTATCAATAAAATCGTATCAGCCATATATGTAACTCCTTTTGGGGAAAAATTTTGAATCAAAGTAATGTTATTTCCGTTCTAAATCGGAAGTTCGAATATAGTTGCAGAATGCACCATATACGAACATAGAAAGTCCACGTGATCAGCCCGTTGGCTAGGCCCGAACCCACGACCAGTGTTCGGTGATTTTATCTATTCGGCAACTGGTGGGCACTTTATTGTGAAGGAATGGTATTTGTTTATTTTTTTTTAAATTTAACTCTTTCCGCCACGCGTTGGCATTAATAGAGCCTTTCATAGGAAGCCCATTGTTGGTTTCCAGGTCCACAATGGATGGTGAGGGACTGAGCCCGACTTAACCTGATGAACATCCCGCAAAATTTTTAAGGTTTTCTCATCTGACCGGAAGCGATACCAGATCCCCGACAGCGACAGGCTATTACCATTAATCGCTCGGTCATCCGGCCATCGGGTTTGTATGGTAAAGAAAATTCTTTTCCTCTGAATAATGAACAGTAAAGATTTACATTATAGCACTAGAGAAATTCAAAAGTCTCCAAGCATAGGCGAAGTTTCTTTACAGACATTTACAAAACATAGAATATAATCTATATGGATAACATTAAATTACCTGTACATACAAAGTATATATTTACTTTTTTGGTATTATTTGCATACACACATCACATGTCAGGTGATTTATATTTTGTGTAAAGACGTTTCATTTATGCCGTGTTTACGAAAATCAAAAAGGAAAGATTATTGTAACCGTCCATTGATTACGTATACAGATTTGATCCGTGCCCTTTGTGCTGTTACCATGATATACTTTTGACAACCTCGCTTGAATTACGTGTACAATAGTTTATGAATCCCTTCAACATTGGAGAAATGACTTATTGTGTAACTGATAGTTTACATGATTAGTAAATAGGCTCATAGAAACAGACTTATGTTCTGTTAATACTACTAAAAACATTCATGTAGACCAGGGCTTCTTAAACTATGGATCGTGTTTTAGGTCGCTTAGCGAAATCTTGGGGTCGCGAGATTTTAATGCAAAATATTGTAAATAATTTGTGAGAGTTTGAAGATGGCACGCTTTGTGTCATAGGTTTCGTGAGTTGCGCTTTTATGTCACTTCTAGTGCAGTGAGACAACGATTCAGCAACACTGATTGTAGTGTGAACTAGTCTAGTGTTGTCGCTTTTCAGTGTATTCAGTTATCTCATTTCCATTGAACCACAAGAGTGAACTGTGGTAGTACACCATTATTGTTTTTGCAAATCTAATATATAATCGAGACGGGTTGATGATAATAATAATAATAAGCGCAGAGCCCGGTTAGGAGTTGAAAGTTGAAATTTGGTACACAGTTAGAGTACGTCACGAAAACTCACACTAAGAAGGGATTTTTCGAAATTCCTCCTGGGGGAGAAAGACAGGATTAAGGCTTAACACTTCCACCAACAATGGAAGTGTTAAGTAACAATGGAAATGTTAAGAGAAAGCGACGTGCAAGATTTACAGGCGCAGATGCAGTTTTTTCGTTTTTGCGGGAAATCGAACATATTTTTAGAACCATCTAAAANCCTTCCACATTCCTTTCATAAAATTTTCATTAAGTCCAACTCCATTCGAGATATGACATGTGATCCCTCATATCCACATATCCACCCACTTCCTCGAGGAGTCCTGTTTTATGACATGTGATCCCTCATATCCACATATCCACCCACTTCCTCGAGGAGTGCAAAATATAACAGCATCGATATCTCTTATATACAAGTTATCATGCCAAATTTCATTTCTTTATCTTTACTGCATCCTGAGATATAAAGCAAAATAGAGGCCAATATACTCACACAACCAGAAAATTTTTACTTTTGGGTTCAGGGAATCTCAGAAAAATTTGACATGATTACAATACTATTGTTAGTGTATAGTTTTATACATGATATAATAACATGTTCCTAGAATATATCTTAATACAAAAATATTTAATAATTTAATTAATGAACATTGTGTAATAAAGAAGTACATTTAATTTTAGGAAGCCGAGGAGCTTGCTTCAATTCTGGAATTACCAAAGCCAGATAGTCTTCCTAAAAGTGTTGAGAAACAAAAATCTGGCGATGTATCCAATAAATATCAAATAAAACCTTTATGATGATAAAGTGTTTGAAGAAGAAAAGTACGAATCTAAACAATGGAAGTGAGTATCATTTTATAACTTTTTAAGGTTTATTTATTTGAAATTTTAATGTAAATCAATGTGAACTATTTTATTTTACTTTTAAATTTAAAAGTAAACATTGTTGAACATTCTTCTATTTGAAAATTAGGCACACAATCAGCAANTTTTTTCGTTTTTGCGGGAAATCGAACATATTTTTAGAACCATCTAAAAGTTCTCTAATTAGTCTGGAAACAAGGGGACCCAATTCTTGCATTCTGTGAAAACGGGTAAGGTTGACTGTAACGTAATAATCTTTATCTTAGTTATTGTTACTTTTGTCCGAGCAACGCCGGGCCCACCTGCTAGTTTGTATATATCTTTATTTTATATTTTTTTGGAGTCGCGAAAAAAATCACAATCATAAATGGGGTCGTGAATAAAAAAAAAGTTTAAGAAGCCCTGATGTAGACAATTCTTTCACCTCTTCTACTGGTATTTTTTTTACTGTTATACATAACAGAAAAAAGTATGGAGATTTAGCAAAAATGATCCTTCAGAATTTTACATTTTTAAATTCGAGGATCTTGAAACGTGGAGAAATACGAAAAATTTGGGGTATTTTACTGTATTTATGGATACTAGTGTGTATAGGAGGTGCGAGTTTGTTCACCCTGTTTGAAGCTTAATTATTCCCGTACTTTTTGTTGAAAATTTTTGAAATTTTGCGAAGAGATTTGTTTATTAGGGGGATCGATGCTATTAAATTTTGAAGGTTAAAGGTCTAACGGGTGGGGAGATAAAGGGGGTCTTGTCATAGTAGGGTCAGACTTAATGACGATTTTATTCGTTATTAGTAGGGGAAGGTGGGGCAGGATGAGGACGTTAAGGTTTGAAAAGTCATAAGATGGCAACCACTTTAATGAGAACGATAATTTTTTTATTCTCGGCAACTTCAACATTTGGTAATACACTAGAGCGTCGATTATCCGAAAGTCAATTATCCGAAAGAATTTCAGTCGGCAAATTTAAATTTTCGCCAGTGATGTGGAGCTGCAATCTTTGCCTATGTCTTGGGCTACTCAAATATTTTACGTTTTTGATACTAAATTATCTTCTGAAGTATAATTTGTTATTGTTTTTATATTTTTCAATATATTTATTTTGTCTATCTATCTATCTTCTCAGCAATATTAGCAATTTATTAATAAATATTTATTTTGTTTGTACAAAATAAAAAAATAATTTTTAACGATACAATAGTCTTCGTTAGGCTTAACAGCGACGAAAATTCAACGCGAAGCGACACGCAACAGAGAAAAATTTCAACACGGGATAGATTAATATATTTTTTCGTACATAATCGGTTATCCGAAATATCGATTTTTTCCTCCCCGAACAACCCGTCTCCAATTGATTCGGATTATCGACGCTCTACTGTATATAATACAAAATTTAATTTTTGAAAAACGTTTTTAAAAACAAGAAAATATAATATTTTAAAATTATATGTAAATGCGCCATCTTGCCCCATCCACGGGGTAAGATGGGAATATTATTTTCATTTACGAGGAGGACAAATTAAAATGGTTAAACTGTCGTTTTCTTCAATATTGGCGCAAGAACAATGCGCCCATTTATCACAGCGGCTACATTTATTATTATTTTCCGAATAAATAAATAAAGAAGTTTGAACTTACTCGTATTTACTTTACCAGACGATAATCACTTCGCGCATGCTCAGTTTCGCTATTTTGTAAACAGACGATATTTTTTCTGTAGAAAAAAATTTTTATTTCGATTGTTATCTCACATTTTATTTCTTGTTAAGATAGTATTTAAATTTAAAAAATGTTTTCACAAATAAAATAAAACGTAAAAACATAAATAATAAAGTAATACAGTATATACTGTATAAATTTATTACAGTTAGATATGATTTAAAAGTGGAATATTTCATCTTCTATAAAAAGATTATTTTTAAACTTATTATTTTATATATTCGAAAAAACGATATAGAATTATCAATGACAACGAATTTAAAACTAGTTCGCTGCATTATATTGTAGTGCCTCTAGCCAGCGGCAGAATTCGTGGCCAACCTTGGGCCCCCACCATCTTGCCCCAACGTGCACTTTTCATACTGACTGCAAACACGGGTCGACTTTATTTCAAAACTAAACAATTTCGGTCTTAAAAGTTACTTCGAATATAATAATATCTTCATCTAAAAGATAAAGTAAAAGTTCGCAATGATGCTTACTTTGTAGAAACTTTGTAGCGGGAGTAAAATTAGATGAAGTATTGCCGAAACGCGGAAAACCGTCTTACTTCCAAACAAAGAGAGCGATTTGGACGTTCTCTCGCTCCATAATCTCTTTTGAGGTTGACATTTAGTTTCCCAAATAACGGCTAGATGAAAGCGCGTTAACCACGAATAAACAGACGTCCCCGTATTACCCCATAGCCCCATCTTGCACTACCTTCCCCTATATATAATTTTTATATAAAACCCTTCCCTACTCTCAAAATTAGACTTTATAATAGTTAAAAATATAAAAAAAAACATTTTTTTACTAAAATATCGTAACAGATGGCGTTACACACCCAGTTTTAATTGTTGCCGGGAAAGTTAAGCAACTCGTTGCTGAGTTTTTAAGTGTGAGTGCTAAAATCGCCAAATTTACAATACAAAATGTTCATATTATTTGTAATTTATAATAAGTATTAAGATAACCTTTTCAAATACTGTGATCAAAATCCCACATATATAAACACTTCAGAAACACGGTAAATTCTTTTTGAACACAAAAAAAGATGATGGATTTTTCGCTACCTCTTAAATTGTACGCGTAATTAATGAAGGATAGAACGTTGGCATATATTTTTATACACTTAATTAGCTAATATTTAAACTTTAAACGATAAAAAGTGAGGCATACACTTAAATTTAATGCACGAATTCCGTTTTTACGACTGTTATAAACGAATCTATCAACGGTAAAATATGAAAATATTGAGTAGTTTATCACAGAAAACAATGGAATAATTTAAGAAATATGTTATTATTTGAATACTTCAGGTGATAGACAATCTAAGAATGTATTATATGTTATCTTTGACAAACGATCTCTAAGAAATTCTTAGAATATTTGCTTCTATAACCTATTGTACAGTGGAACCCCGGTTAACGAACTTAATCCGTTCCACGACTCCGTTCGTTAACTGAATTGTTCGTTAACCGAAGCAATTTTTCCCATAGAAATTAATGCAAATGCAATTAATCCGTTCTAGTCTCCGAAATTTTTGTCATTTGATTTGTAATATACAGTAATTTTCTTTGATGAAAATGTAAGAAAACGTAATATATATCATTACAGCAACAAACATGTAAACTTTGTTTAATAAAATAGCACTATAATAAACTACAACATACCTTCGTTTGTTGTAGTTGGTGGCAGAAAAGTGGAGATATACGAATCTTAATGCTTAGAAGGGGAATCCCCTCCAAAAAAATAACGGGTAGCACTTCATCGGAAGATTCTTCGAGTCGAAGTCTCTTTCGGTAAAAAAATCCACCAGTGGCTAAGTGGTCTTCATACCTCGAACACGGGGAGTTCGTTCGTGGGTTCGCACCTCGCTCAGACAAGCTGGCCACGTAGAGTTTTCCGGGTTTTCTCCACGTCTGTAACGCCTAAATAGGGGCCAGTTTCCCTTAAAAATACCTCCCAGAAGGCATTCCCTCTAGTCAGATCGCCCAAGTGTTGCGTTGCCATAACTTAACAAAGAAACAAACTCTTTCCGTAAGGAACAAGAAATTGATTGTCTTACTGTTTTAATCAAAATTTCCCTCAAATGCGATAATGCATTGTAGTTTATATTGCGTTGCCGTTTTCTATTGCCACTATGACTTTTTTCTTTCTTCGATGCCATATTGATTAAATATATAAATCACAAAACTGAAAAAAGAAGTATAGCACAAACACTCGGAAAAGCAATGCTTAACTCGCGCATGCCTAACACCAACTAAAATTTGACACAAAATACCGTTACGTTCGTTATCCGAATTTCGTTCGTTATCTGAGACAAAATTTTTGCAAAATAAAAGTTCGTTAACCGATTTGGTCGTTAACCAGGACGTTCGTTAACGTTCCACCGTATCTTTTATCAATGACAATTGGACTTTCAGTGTCAGCAGTTTAATTACTTCTTGTAATTTTGTACGCGATATGAAGTACGTAATTGTAATAATTTCATGTATTTTATTATATAAATAAAACATAAATAAATGCATGCAATTATTAATCCGAAAATGTCACCAAAACAGTTAAAAATCATGCAATTAAATGTACAGTATACCCCCTATAACACTATTAATAATTCTGTGTTATATGAATTCCATGTTGTACGAGTCACTTAGGTTTTACAAATACATGTGCCGGGCTGTAAACGGCTCACGTATTTGTAAAATCTACGTGACTCGTATAACAGGGAATTCATATAACACGGAATTATCAACAGTGTTATAGGGGGTCTACTGTATTTAACTTTTATAAAATATTATGCACAAAAAAAAACAATCAAAATGTATAAAACTTTGACCCTAAAACTTTCACTTAAGATGACACATCTGTACTGTTTAATGCCTAATTCAGTGTCAAATTAATATTTATTACCCGGGCCTTTTATCGCTAAGCTTTTCATATATGGTCTCGACTTTCATCTGTCTAAACCCTTTCTCTATATTAAGGAAGGACAGACATCCGACAGACTGACGTCACTGGGAGTTTATAGGTCGACAGTTTAAAAATTGCAGTCCAACGAACAATAGAGATAACACTGTTTACGGTTATAAGGTTAGCCTAATAATCTGTTTGCCTTAGTTTAGCTATATAACAAAAGAAAGAACAAAAGGAACGTCATTAAAAGGCAGAAAAATGGGAAAGTTACTATTTAACTTCTTGCTATTGACTTTAGCAATATACCCAACCTTGGCAGTACCTTCTACTCTAGCACAATTCATACGTTCGAGTAATGAAACTGCCGAATTATTTTTAAAATTAATATCAGAACCACAGATCTTGGACCGCGAATGGAGTATATTTTACAAGTTTGAAGGAATTCCTATGCGAAAAGTAAGGTTTTTATTTTTAAATTTACAGTAGAGCGTCGTTTATCTTAAAGCCGGTTATCTGAAACGTCGGTTAACCGAAAGCATTCCAGTCGGCAAATTTAAATTTTCGCTAATGCTGTGGCGATGCAATCTTTGGCTATATCTTGGGCTACTCCATTATTTTTTTTTGTTGGTGTGTGTTTTAGCTGGCAGCACTGGCACTTTTGTGTGTTTTTCTGAGGAGTGTGTGTCGTGCTGAATCGAACATTTTTGATACTAGATCAACTTCTAAAGTATATATACTGTATATTTGTTTTTATATTTTCAATATATTTAATTTATTTGTAAAAAATAAAGAAATAATTTTTAACGATACAATAACCCAATTATTGTTTTAAAAAGTTTACGTTAGGCTTAACATCGACGAAAATTCAACGCGAAGCGACACGCAACGGAGAAAATTTTCAACATGGGATAGGTTAATACATTTTTTCGTGCATAATCGGTTATCCGAAAAATAAGTTATCCGAACAACCTCAGTCCCCAATTGATTCGGATAAACGACGCTGTACTGTATTTGTTTTGTTGTTTAATTTATAAATTTGGTTGTTTTTTTTTACAGGGAGATAAACCGTTAGTTGAGTTTAGTTGGAGTAATTGTGCACCATCTGCTCCTGTTCGCATCAAATCTTTGCATATTACTCCAGATCCCATCAATTTTCCGGGTGATATAACTTTCGACTTTGATATTGTTCTTAAAACGGAAATAGCTGCACCGTTCAAGGTAAGCAATTTTTAAATTTAATTTAATATTTTTAATTAGAAATATCGAATAATCGAAGCGTAAAGCTGAAAGATTCAGTCCTTTGAAGGTACCGTATATGGGTTGTTTGAGCCGGGTATTTTGATATATCGTTAGATTTATTAAGAGCCTATCATAAACAAAAAAGAAGTGTGAGTTTGCAGAGTTGCAGAGTGAGTGTCCTTTTCTAACTGCAACTCTGCAATTGTAATCTTGATCTTTAATGTTATCTTCGTTCATTGAAATGATGCTCTTTTCTTTAGAGGGTTGTTCCCTCTCCTAAGGCGTGGTTATAGGGAAGTCAGAGCGGTGTGATGCTAGATGAATACATGACAATAGGTGCATTCTTGACATTACAACGTTTGCAAGGATCCATACAGAAGTAGCGATTGGTTAAGTGGTCATTAGTAGATTGCTATCCAAGTTAGCAATTAAGTGTCTTGATCCCCGTTAGCCATGCTGAAATATGGTTTGAACTGAAATGAGCCTTCAGGATGTTTTCAGCTTCTTGGAGCATCTGCAACTAAACCGAGATGGGTACTAGATAAAAATGTAACGTAATGCTTGGGTTTTAACCTTTGGATAACAGAAAGATTTATTGTTATTTCCGAAGAGTTGCATAACGAACCGTACTGTTTACGTCACTGCTTTCATGTTATACATGTAATTTATAAAATAACGTAACGTTTGTTACCCCTCGCCCCACTATCGTGTACTATTCTTCAGTACAATTACGGGATTGTTCGAAAATATACGTAAATTTGAAGTGGGAATGTTCGACAGAGTTACGGAGCGTTACAGGAGGGTAGGATTTCAATACAATTTGAAAAAATATTGCATATGTTACCGCTAAAGCTCGAAATCCGTTAATGTGTACATTACCTAGCTAATCTGCAGATTAACTAGGGTGATCCGTTAAGGCTGCGAAAATTGTTCAATTTCTCAAATTACCTAGGTAATTTGCAGAGTATCTAGGTAATCTGCACATTAACGGCTTCCGTATCGTTAAAGTTCAAAAGTTTGTTTCTTTCACTTCCTTTCCCCACTCCTTCTTTTTACGTAGATAAATTTAAATCCTAGAATGCAAGCAAGCACCGAATTGGTGAGTAAAATCAAGAAAAGATTCTTCGCAAACCTCTTTAGCGAAGATTTAAAATATAATACGTAGTGTTTTAATAACAAACCAAAGTATGATTCCATAATTGAAGATGTAAAGCAAATAAAAGTTTCCAAGAAGAAAGAATCATCTCGAGATTATCAAATAATTCAAAGGTGTGATGTGTTGACTGTACGAGGCTGTGAAAAACTCATTGAGCCGTTGTCAGATGCGCGAGAAAGGTTTGAAAAAGTTTGTCCATGCCGGAGAATTGTTTGACATTCGATAAAAACTGAAGAAGACCTTGAAAAATTAGAAGATTCACAAGAGACTGTGATTATGAGATCACAGTCAAATCTTACTCAAGAGGACATTCCGTTATCCCCCGCTTCTACAGAATCACCTATAGAAATACAAGAATTTACCGATAGTAATCTTAAACTGCCTTCTATACCGTTGATTGATGATGCAGTCACGAAGAATATTCAGTTACCCTGCACCTCCAAGGAATCGCCTCTGCAAGTTGAAGAAGTCATCACTGAGTTACTCTCAACTTCAGCAGAATCGCCATCACAGTTTCGTACGGAGCCTGTAAAGAGCACTATACAAGACATAGTCTGTATTGTTTGCTCAAAAGCAGCATCAAGTGCTCACAAGTGTAAATCGTGTAATATGTTTGTTCACGCAGTTTGTGGTGAAGTAGATCCTAAAGAGGAAGGGTATGGTAAGAATGTATTGTGCATCATCTGTAAAAAGAATATGGATCAGAAAATACAGCGTGATGAAGCCAAGAAATGTTTAGAAAAGCAAGCAAAGAAAATGTTAGCAGTTTCTAATGCAAAGCACCCAAACGTCGATGAAGGTTTCGCTGTGAGAATTAAAGTACCCGAAGAAGACAGAGCAAAAACTGATGCACGTTCAATTTTAGCTGTGGTTCTTAGTAAAACAGAGGATGGCTTTTATAAACTTGATACTAAAACAGGTATTTTAAAACAATTGTATGCAAAATCTGAATTCAGTGTTTGCAAAGAGAGATTTTTAACGAAAGAAGATGGATGTCCCTGCTGTAGAAATATCTTTACGTCAAACAGCAATAAAACAATCCCTTGGTACTGGGCAGGGTTTCAGAAAATGTGACTGCAAATCTAAATGTACCACAAATAGGCGTGCTTGTCGCAAAAACCAATTGCTACGTAATTCAAAGTGTCACCAATCTTTAGATTGCACTAATAAGTAAGTACAATTTTATCATATGTTTTGCAAATTCATTTCCCTAATTGTAGTAATATTTTAAACCGTTTGATTTTTGTATTAAAGTTTTTTTAATTGATTGATGATTGATTCAATCAACTAATTTGTTGATTGTATTAACTTGATTCTTTAGATATTGAAAATTAAATAAATAACATTATGTTAATTTAAGCGTACAGAAACGTTGCTGTTGTTCCAGCAAAAATCTTATTTTCACTTTACCGAGTGCCTAGTAGGTAATTTGCAGATTACCTAGATAATCTGAACATTACCTAGGTAATTTGAGAAATGGAATAATTTTCGCAGCTTTAACGGATCACCCTAGTTAATCTGCAGATTAGCTAGGTCAGGGGTCGGAATTAGCGGCTCTTTGCATAGACGTTTGCGGCTCTTCGGACATAAACTCCAATTTCATCTCACCTCATTTCACCGCAGCCTTATAACTTATGAGTTTATGAGATAGAGCCGCCGAACAAACTTCGACTTGTTCTCCTTCCGCACATGACCACACTCGCGTTGATCAATATGAGTCTCATAAGAGTGGTAGCATTTGAAGCATATCTATATATATAACCCATTGAACGCGTGTCCGTCCATCCGTGTAACGTTATGCCGAAAACGGCCACTAGAGGCGCCTCTGTCGTGTGTCGTATTTCGCACATTTAAATTAATATGAGGCTCTCTGGTACTTTTGTTATCCTGTTTTCATGACAATTTGGCTCTTCTCACTTGACAAACTGCCGACCCCTGAGCTAGGTAATGCGCACATTAACGGATTTCGAGCTTTAGCGGTAACATATACACATAAACGTACTGTTAAGTTTATAGTCTCTTTTTGGAGTTTACAGGGATATTTTGTATTATCTGTGTTTTCCGGTTTTCCGTGTACACCCGTACACCAGTTAGCACGAATAATCGGGAATTCGATGCATTTAAGAAAGATATGTGATTTGTTTTTTAGTGTTCAATAACGCTTTAAAAAGAGAAAAGTACAACTAATGAAAACAGCAAAGACAGTAATTCAAAAATGGAGACAATCATTAAGCTTTCTTTATGTTTGAGTAGTTTTTATTCTGTTCTTTTGTGCCTACCAGAGGCCAAGGGAATAAAACCACCGAACACTGGTCGCGGGTTCGCACTTCGCCGCGGGTCAGGCCATGTGGAGTTTTTCGGATTTTCATCACGTTTGTAATACTCGAATAGGGGCATGTTTTTCTTAGAAAGTACTGTTTCCCGGGAGGCATACCCTTGAATAGATCGCTCACGTTTTGTCTTGCCGTAAACAAATGTTTATCTGTAAGTACAGTAGAACCCGTTTAAGAAGTTTCTTTTTGAGAAACTTCTTCAAACACTTCTTAACAGAGTCCTACTGTATTTATAATAAATATTTTTTATAAAATCCAATCCTACCCTTAAAATTAAGTTTTTTTTTTTAAGTTTAAACGAAAAACAGTTGGTACTAAACGTTGCCGGGAAAGTTAAGCAACTCGCTGCTAGAGTTTTATTTAATGCAAATTATCAACAACAAACGGTTTTTCTTAATCAAGAATGAATTTTTTCACATATTTTCATTGTATTTTCTTAGCTCGACGTCGACATGAAGAAGAAAGTGCATTCCGTTTGGGTTGAAGTGCCTTGCAAAGACCATATCGGTACCTGTAATTTTCCGGATATTTGCGTTATTTTGGATATATTTTCATCTATTGGATGTCCATTTAAGGCGGTATGATTGAACTGTTAATAATAAATATTTTGCTAATAATTATGTTACTTTGAATATAAAATTAATTGGTTTATAAATGCTTAATAGTTTATAAATGGTTTATAAATACACTTTCATTTTACTTAAGTATACCAGATGCTGGCATAATTCGTTTCTGGAAACTGTTAAGCGGGTAAAAATATCCCATAATACATTGCAAATTGGCTTATGATTTCCCCAGCAGATGACACACCAAACTTGCAAATTCCTAGTGGAATAATTGTGACCTATTCTTAGCGTCACGTGTCCTATCGCCTAAAGGTGGACGCGAACACGGGCCAACACATCACTGATGACGCAGTATTACCAATGCTCTGGTGTCTAAATAAAAGCATTAACAATTCAAAAACTTGGGCTTTTTTTATATTTATATAAAAGGGGCCTAGCATGTCCACATATACATCACACACTTAAACCTGCCACATCATACGTGTTAATATCGACTGATATTAAACATTGATCTTGAATTAGTACTGTATATAGGTCTACACTGTACATAACAATATCTATAACATACAACACGTAAGATATTGAATAATAGTTACAATATTTAAATTTAATTTATGCAGTAAAAAAAGGCTTTATATAATTATTATTTTTTCCAGGACGAGTACAAGTTAAATTCTACGACTATAAAATTACCTGAAATTCATTTACCTGATTCTATCAGCACTGGTGATTATAAAGTTAGAATCAATGGAAGTCATGACGAAAAAACATTATTTTGCTACGATTTTAAGTTTTCATTGCACGTAAATTAATACTTTATTAATCTGACAATTTATATGAATACAAGTAAACCCCCTATAACACTGTAGATAATTCCGTGTTATATGAATTCCATGTTGTACGAGTCACTCAGATTTTACAAATACGTGAGCCGTTCACAGCACGGCACACGTATCTGAGTGACTCGTACAACATAGAATTCATATAACACGGAATTATCTAGTGTTTTTTTTTTATCTAGTCATTTTTTTTCTGTTCTGCTGTAATTGACTGAAGTTTGCCTTCTTTTTGTTATTAATCCTTTAATTAATTGTATTCTAATTATTCAATGTAATAAATATGTAATAAGATATTAAATAGTTTTGTGTGGTAATGAATTCTTTGCTTGTGTTTTGAGGATTTTGAATCATTCTTAGGTTTAATGAAAAACCCTTATTTCAAGGATTTNAAATAATTTATATTCAAATTACATCATTTCTATGACCAAGGGCGGCGTATGGGCAACGTGAGCCACCACCTATGCCTCGCAGTCCGAAGGGCCTGACGCCTCGAAGGTTTATGCATTACTTAAAAGCCGCGAATGCGACGAAAAAATTTTACTCATCATAAAACAAATAAATAGTTTGACAAATTTTTATTCATAAAAATGCAGTTTCAACTGCTTTTTATTTCATAAAATCCGTTTTCTTGCGCCACCAGAGGCCTTTTAAACAATAGGTAGTCTGTTTGTGTTGGTCAGTAGTAGTCCAAATTCAATACGAACGTTTGTTTCTTTAAAATTTTATCACAATTTAAATACAGTATTTACTTTTAATATTACCGATATGTTATCGAAAAGAAAACGTGTTGTATTATCATTAAAAGACAAATTAAAGTATTTGTTTCGATTATCCGAATTTTTCCTTATCCGGACTACCTTCATCCCCCTTCCCAATTAGTCCGGATAATCGAGGTTCTACTGTACATAAACAAATGTAAAATTTAATCATGATATGAGTGTAAATGTATTCTGGTGAAATATGTAGTGGGAGTGTTGTCACCCACTCATCCTACTTTCAATCTAGAAAAACATAACCAATAAAAAATATGTTAAAATTAATTATTTCTTCTTTCTAAACATAAGACAGTAAAGAAATAGAACAGAGGATAAGACAGTAAACAAATAGAACAGAGGATAAGACAGTAAACAAATAGAACAGAGGATAAGACAGTAAACAAATAGAACAGAGGATAAGACAGTAAACGAATAGAACAATTACGATTTTTTTCCCCTATTTATCACCTTAGGTTTAATGAAAAATCCTTATTTCAAGGATTTATCGTTAGAGTTGTTTTCAAAGTGGTCCCCAAAGCATAGGATTTTTCACTAGTGTGGTATAGCACTGGTTTCAAAATGGGCGTTACCACTCCTTGGGGTTAAGTAAATCTAAGAGCGAAAAGAAGCAAGGAATGGAGGCAGAGTTCTTCCCGAATTGTGACCATAAAGGGGTTGAGGTTACTGAAAACCTTTACCTTTCTTCCGTTAAAAAGGGCAAGAAGAAACATGGCGTTTAATGGATCTAGATATGAAGAACAATATACGATAGGGACACAAAGTATGAGGTTCATAAAAAAGTTTGTTACTATTGTACACGTTATGAAAGATGAGGGATATACCACAATACATTGTTGTACAGTACATGACAGGGTCAAAAGTGGTTCGGATATAATACACGTGATTAATGGACAGTCCCTAAAGACGAATGAAAATGGTTCAAATCGGTTAACATACAAAAATTTAAGGCTATAATGATCATTTTCTAACAGATAAGTATCAATGAGTCATTTAATTCAATTTAATTTCTAAAAGAGCCAATGTCCAATTTGAGATGATAGCGTTTTTGTAATCAACTTCGTGTGTTCTGTTTGTGTGCCACAACGGCTAGGGTTCAAGTTCCGTAATACAGTAACGTTTGTGTGGACGTTGACACGTTGACCTGTTTGTAAACACCTATCAGTAGTTGTCCGATAACACCAAATAAGTCACATTTTACAATGACAACTGTTCTAGATAAAATAAGAACACGTATATCTCTGATTTTCTGTCATGCCCTTGCAGCTGTAATGGTCTTTGCCTTGAAACTTTTACACAGTGTCAATCCAGCATATTACTGCCATTAACACCACAAAAAAGAAAGAAGACAGAAAATTAAATTGAAGTGCCTCATAATTGAAGTAACTTTGTAGGAATGGTTTATTCCAACAATCCTTTAAAAATACAGTAATAAAATTGAAAACGGGATTTATTTCTGAACTTCAAGGAGCTGATGCATTAGGAGTTTGTCCAACGCAAGAAAAATTAAAATAATGTTGAATTTTCAGCAGGAGAAGTGAAATTGTGTCAGAATCGCAGCAGAGGAACCAAAGAAGCTTTTTAACAAAACAACTTTCCATCTAAAAGACGAATTTTAGGTGGTAAACTTAGGGAAATTGTGTCGCACGCGTATAACAGGCCTCATTAACTGCAACAACTACCTACCTCTTGCATATCACTGCCCTATAACTAAAAAAACCACACAGATCACATGTTACTATTATTCATCAGCGTAAACAACAAATCTTTCTATTCGCAGCTTGTATCATGGCCTGAAATCTCTTACAAATTTGAAAAATTATTTAAGTCCGATGACTTAAATAATTCTTCAAATTTGTAAGAGTATTTGTAATTCAAATGACTTAAATAATTCTTCAAATAATGTTTAGAGTTGATCCCTTTTCCTCCCCGAAACTCGATATACAGTAGAAGTTCGATTATCCGGATTGTTCAAAATAAACAAAAATTTTACTGATTGCTGAATTATTTACTGATTACTGAATTTGCTGATTTGCACTTGGAGAATTACGATACTGTTTATGTACGTGATGGAATGAATAACTTTTTTTGTTTCAACAACGTCTCACCCAGCACAATGGTGGTAAACTCTTAAATATATTTTGCGTCATAATAAAAATATAACTTGACATACGTATTTATAAATAATTTATATTCAAATTACATCATTTCTATGACCAAGGGCGGCGTATGGGCAACGTGAGCCACCACCTATGCCTCGCAGTCCGAAGGGCCTGACGCCTCGAAGGTTTATGCATTACTTAAAAGCCGCGAATGCGACGAAAAAATTTTACTCATCATAAAACAAATAAATAGTTTGACAAATTTTTATTCATAAAAATGCAGTTTCAACTGCTTTTTATTTCATAAAATCCGTTTTCTTGCGCCACCAGAGGCCTTTTAAACAATAGGTAGTCTGTTTGTGTTGGTCAGTAGTAGTCCAAATTCAATACGAACGTTTGTTTCTTTAAAATTTGATCACAATTTAAATACAGTATTTACTTTTAATATTACCGATATGTTATCGAAAAGAAAACGTGTTGTATTATCATTAAAAGACAAATTGAAGTATTTGTTTCGATTATCCGAATTTTTCCTTATCCGGACTACCTTCATCCCCCTTCCCAATTAGTCCGGATAATCGAGGTTCTACTGTACATAAACAAATGTAAAATTTAATCATGATATGGGTGTAAATGTATTCTGGTGAAATATGTAGTGGGAGTGTTGTCACCCACTCATCCTACTTTCAATCTAGAAAAACATAACCAATAAAAAATATGTTAAAATTAATTATTTCTTCTTTCTAAACATAAGACAGTAAAGAAATAGAACAGAGGATAAGACAGTAAACAAATAGAACAGAGGATAAGACAGTAAACAAATAGAACAGAGGATAAGACAGTAAACGAATAGAACAATTACGAATTTTTTTTCCCTATTTATCATACACGTCTCCAAATTTTTCCGTTTTCTATAATATAAACTGTAGGATATTCATTTTTTTTCTTGTTAAATTTATTATTAATTTCGTTAATCGATTAAAAAAATATATTATGAAATCTAATAAATATAAAAAATAAATATATATATTTATGCCAAACGTAGTGTATTTATAAAATAAATTAATTACGTTGAACTGTTTTCGGTATTATGATACCTCTATTTTCCTTTGTTATTCGAAAAACAAAATATTTACGCGTGTTTTTCAGTATTATTATGTTTCAGTGGAATGTACAAATGGTGTATATATACCCTTTGCTATAACCTGAATACCACTATTGCCATAAACCCATTTCTAGTTGATCAAGTGAAGAATAGACCGAATCGGCAGTAGGATTTTTCAATTTTTTATTTTAATTCCTTTCTCTATTGTGAGAGATCGGTTTAACACGTCATTCAGTTGGTGCCGAGTATCTTCCTGTATAAACGAAACATCTACAGAATGAAAAGGTGTACCATGGAGAAGACACTAATTAACTTCTTATTACTGTCTTTTGCAATATGCCAAATCTTTGCAGAACCTCCTACTCCTATAGAAGTAACTAATTCAATAAATGGAACACTTGGATCGTTTTATGAATTTATGTCTGACCTACACAAATTCGAACGTCAATGGAGAGAATGCCGCGAAAGTAAAGGAATTGAATACGTAAAGTGTTTTTAATACAATCTTTTGTTGTTAATATTTAATAAATTATAATTATTATATATTATATCTTTTGTTTACAGGGTGATAAACCGTTACTTCGAGCTCATTGGGATAAATGCGCATCTTCTAATACAGTTGAAATCAAATCTCTGTTTGTTTCTCCAGATCCTATTGTTGTTCCCGGTCCCATAAGACTGAACTATGATATGGCTATTGTAGCTAACATATCTTCGCCATTACAAGTAAAAAATTTTCTATTTAAATTTAAAAATTTCGTGTATAAATTAATACAGTAGACCCCCCCCCTATAACACTGTTGATAATTCCGTGTTATTTGAGTTCCACGTTGTACGAATCACTTAGATTTTACAAATACATATACCGGGCTGTGAACGGCTCATGTATTTGTAAAATCTAAGTGACTCGTACAACATGGAATTCATATAACACGGAATTATCAAAAGTGTTATAGGAGGNTACGCCACTCTTTTAAACACGGTGTATGTGCCTAAATAACGAAATTTTTTCTATTTAATGGATATTTTTTGTAATTTTACATGGTAATTTAGGATTTTAAGTACAGTATACAATTATCATGTGCTATGTGCCGTATGTTTTGGTTTTTAGTACAATATAATATAGTAAAATAGTAGTCTTCCACTCGCCAGTCTGACATTTTCATTAATTTTATTAATTTTTTAAGTGTTTAGACGATATTATTTTAATATGATGTTAAAAAAGACAATTGCTTACAAAATAACGGGCATAGATCAGCACCTTCTATGTTTTGTATTGAAAAAAATCCAGTAACGAGTTGCTTACTTTCCCGGCAACATTTAAAATGTTGGTGGAGCCATCTGTTATCGTATTTTTATTTTAAAATTTTTTATATTTTTAACTATTACAAACTAGCAAAAAGCTTAATTTTGAAGTTAGGGATGGGTTTTATAAAAAATTAACGAATAAAATCTTAATCTAGTCCGACTCCACTCGTAATACGACACACGACTCGCCTCTATCCCTCAACCTCTTGACCTTTAACCACCAAAATTTAACATCGCCGAACCTCATGATAGACAAACTTCCCTGCAAAATTTCAGAAATTTCTGATAAAAAGCACGGGAGTTATTAAGCTTGTAAACCCCCCACACACACAAACATCCATACATACAGCAAAATCAAATACAGGTTTAAAAATACCATTTATTATTAAATTAATGAATATTTATTACACAGTTTTCTTTTAATTCATTCCAATGTTAATGGGATTGAAAACTGGAAATCATAACAAAATAACTCTTTCTCTTTAGAACTTCCCTTCACTTCAATGTAAAAATCGCCATCTTTAAGAAAAAACGGTAAAGGAACGTTGGGTATTTTAAAAATAGTGTCGAGACCATATTCTCCCTAAAAATAATACAACATTTTTATTGTTATATACATTTAAATTTAATAATTTTAATTATAAACATACCTGAGAAATTGGACATTTACAAGGCAATTTAGCGTTGATAATGGGTGCAGGACATTTTCTAGGAAACAGTGCACAAACATCTGAATAGGAACAACTTCCTACATTCTCCATGCAGGGGATTTTAATCCAAAAGTATGCTATTTTTTTATGAACATTTAAAGAAATCTATAAAAAAAATTCAATAAATTCCTGTGTATCATTAAATATATATGTACTGTATTAGGGGATTAGACAATGCATTATATGGGCCATCTTTCTAGGGGTACTATTGGAAAAAAACCACTATTTAGGTTAGATAAGAAGAGAAAACCAGAGAAACCTTTAGGATCGAACTAGTGTACGGTAGTGTTATTCACTAGGCCATTAGTGGGCAAATAAAGAAGGAATAGTAGTTTTATAATTGAGCATAAACATATATTAAATTATACAGTAATTAAAAACTTTATAAAAATACTAATTTATATACAAAATTATTAAATTTAAATAGAAAATTTTTACTTGTAACGGCGATGATATATTTGTTTTGACAACCACATTAAAGCTAAGTTTTACAGAATCAGGAACAATGGCCGGATCTGAAGAAACATTCAGAGATTTTATTTGAATTATATTAGAAGATGTACATTTATCCCAATAAAATTGAAATGACGGTTTATCATTCTGTAAACAAAGAAACATATAATAATTATTATTTACTAAATATTAACAACAAAGGATTGTATTAAAAACACCTTACTTTTTCGTGGATTTCTCTCCATTGACGATCGAAATTCTGTAGATCAGACATAAATTTATAAAACGATTCAAGTGTTCCATACGTTGAATTAATTCCTTCTATAGGAGTAGAAGGTGTTGCATAGATTGGGCACATTGCAAAAGACAGTAATAAGAAGTTAATTAGTGTCTTCTCCATGTTATACCTTTTCGTTCTGAAGTTGTTTCGTTTATACAGAAAGATACTCGGCACCAACGGTTAAAGAGTGAGGGATTAAAATAAAAAAAGGAAAGTCCTGCCGCTGCCACAGTCTATTCTGCACTTGTTTCAGTTAGAAATGGGCTTATATGTGTTAGGATTTTAGCTTCATACCTTTTCTACGAACTCTTGAGAATGTTATGTTAACGAATAACACGTGTAAACATTTAAATAAAGGAAAATAGAGGTAACATAATACTGAAAACACTTCAACAATTTTATAAATGTGTTTATCATAAATACTTTTCTTATAATCGATTAATAAAATTAATGGTAAATGTGAGGCTCCGGAAGTGGGTCGAAATTCGTGCACAGAAAATGTTTTAATTTCGTATGAAAAAANGATAATTCCGTGTTATTTGAGTTCCACGTTGTACGAATCACTTAGATTTTACAAATACATATACCGGGCTGTGAACGGCTCATGTATTTGTAAAATCTAAGTGACTCGTACAACATGGAATTCATATAACACGGAATTATCAAAAGTGTTATAGGAGGTCTACTGTATTTTAGTATGGTTTTTAATTACCGTATAATTTAAAATACACTGCTGGCAAAGTAAAATGCAACACTTGCTATATCTAGAGGCTTACATGGTGTTGCATTTTACTTTGCCAGCAGTATATGTTTATGTATCGTAAACAACACTGTTTTACGTAATTTAAATTACATAAATATAAACTCCAGTTTATAATTCACTTAAAGCAAGAATGAATTTTATCTTTTGCTACAGATTTCTTTAAATATTCAGAAAAAAATATCATACTTTTGGGTTAAAATCCCCTGCATACAGAATGTAGGAAGTTGTACCTATTCAGACATTTGTTGGCTGCTTGATAGTGTATGCTCTCTACCTTGTGTGAAAACTATGTTATCTTGTGAATGTCCAATTCCTCAGGTATGTTTAAAATAATTCATATAAATCTCAGTCTTTTACTATCATTTCTATGAGGAATTATCACACATTGAAGCTTAAAATTATGTGATAACTCCTCATAAAAGTAATTACTAGATGATAGTAAAAGATGGGATTTAAATTACATTTATGTATTAAAAATTTTACATTATTTTTAGGGAGAACATCGGCTCAATACTGGTTTTGAAATACCGAACATTCCTTTACCATCTTTTCTTGGTGGCCAGTATTACATTAAAGTGGAGGGAAGTTCCAATGGAAAACCGTTGTTTTGTTACGACGTACAGTTTTCAATTGAAATAAATTAAGAGAAAATGAATAATACGAAATTGTACTTTTTTAAACCCTGATTTATTTTGTTTATTTCTTACTTCTATTATGTAATACTTATATAATGAAATCAACTTGAATAAAAGTTGTATGATATATAAAGTTTCGATTTTATTAAAGCTTACTTCTGCTTTCCTAAGATTTCTAAATGCCAATTATATCTGTACGTAACAGTGAAACACAAGGCACGAAGTTTGTAAAAGGATACATCATTAAAACGAGAGAAACAAGATGGCCGCTTTGGTGACATGTGATTACTGTACTTTACTGTCGCCCATATAATCGCATATTAAAGCATAGCTGACAATCCGATTTAAGGTTCCAAATTCGAATCTTAAAACTATTCTAGGCATTATATGTGTAATAAATGGCATAAAATTGATATTCATATGCATGATTATATTTACTATGGTATAAAAAGTGATTTACCATATAAATCTTTTATATTTGTAATTTTTAATGTGAATTGGCCCTGGCTGTCTTTAGTCCACATTATCTTAGATAATCAGGGTTCTACGGTATTACTATTATTACAATTAGGGAAAAGATTATATAGTTAATCACCTATGGAATTTCGGGACTTTGAGTATACAGGGTGTTTTTTTTTTTAAACTGACGGTACTCAGAAGCATCTGTAGAGCAATCTAACAGCCGGATTGTCGCCAAATTTGGATAGTGACTAAGGACGACCTCAATAAGTAACACCTCAATATCCTGCTCGTCTATATCTCTTAGTCCTGCTGTATCGATTAGGTTAACAATTTGGTCAATCTAACGATATAGTGATAGGTTCTTTTCTTTGCGAATCCTTTCAAATTCCGAACACAAGAAAATGACTGAAGCAAAATTTAGATCTTTTACATAAGATCATTAATTAAAGATCTTGGTGCTCATCGTATATTTCATCACACTTGCAATATGGCAGCTGGTGATTTTTTTGTTTTGTTTTGTTTATGGAGGGCACGAATATGGAGGTTTATGGAGGATTGTTTTAATCTTACCCATGCTTAGTTTCTGAAGATCCACAATTTGGGCTGCCGGGCTGTCTTGACACATGAGGTACAGATTCTTGAACAGTTCAAATCAGGTAGACTGAAGTACTAACCGTTCAAACATCCGGCTGTCACCTTCTTATAGTGACAATTCCGTATAAACAGTTTCTTATAGACCAGTGTTTCTCAACTGGGGCGATATCGCACCCATGTGAACGTTTTTCCATGTTGAGGGGGGCTATTAGTAACAATTCATATTTTGGTAGCGAAAAACAATTTTTTGGGCGATATAGTAAAACATTATATTAAGAATAATTAGATATTTTTATATCGTACAATAATTAAACAAATAACATTAGACTAGCCAATAGTCTATTCAATGCAGTACGAATTTGGCGTTAGCCTTGGCCCTGGGCATCGGTATTTTGAAGTAAAGGGGGCGATACTACGTAACGGTTTTATTGAAGGGGGCGACGATTTGTTAGAGGTTCACAAACACTGTTATAGACACTTGAACATAAATTGTTTTTAGTTGGCCTGCAATGTAACATATCTCTTACATAATATATTATTTCAATGAAATATTGCTATTCGATGTATACCATTTTGTTCACGACGCGTTTTTGGATTTATTGCCAATTATTTGTAACACGACTAGCAGGCTGCCGGATTTCAACGAACTTGGGTAAAATTTATACATATAACACATAAAAAAGATGGATGGGAAACAGAGAATATCTCGCTTGGAAAGAGTTATAACAGTGTTTGTAAACACTGTTATAACTTGGAACGAGTTTGTGCCGGTTCCTATAGAATCCGGCCATAAAATTAATCGATTCCTAGACTAATTCGACTCAACATTTCCAAAACACGTATATTTTTTTTAGAATAATCCGTATAAACTATGCTGTAAACAAAAAATTGTGGGATTACTTACCGAGTGTGCACCGTTCGACGTCGCCATTGCTTAAGCTTTTTTACGTTGCAGAGCAGCGCACCAAACGGCGGGCGCGATTTCTCATAAGTTATTTTTCTGCGAAAACTTCGTTGAACTTTGGAGACATCATTAATATAAATAATTTTTACGGCCGCTAAATAAGAAATGTTTCTTTCAGAAAGAATGTATAAAATTAATGCTGAATTAGACTTACGGTACCTAATTTACATACTGTACAGACGATAGTAAACTCAATTTACCCGCCTAAACTCTCCGTAGCGTGGCGCTGGACGGTGGAAAGTAGTTTGGCTGCCCAATGACGTTTTACCGAATTATAGTTATTTTTACCATGTTTGTATGGATACCGTCGCAATTTTTTCGCCGTCATATAGGAATCCGAACTATAGGAACCCGTGTTATAGGGGGGCCACTGTAACGATATCTGTAATCGGGAAACGGCTTTATCACCAGACGATCTGTACAAACCTACCTACACCAAGTTGATTGCCCTGGAACAAACTGGAGCCGCACAATTCAGACAGTCCGCGTATTTTTTCAACAGACCACGTATACATCAGGAATGTACGAGATTTCTGTGTACCGCTTATTTAAGGCCCACTTGGGTGAAGACAGAAGATGCCATTTGCATTAATTTTAAAATCAAAATGAAAATTTATATTTTGTTTAAATATCGGATTTATGTCTTCAATTTAATAAAATGATTTAACAAAACGTTATTAAGTGAATATAATATATGTATCAAAATGAAACTGCTTAATAGTTTTGAAAAAGACAGCTTCACAAAATTTGGAAAATTCTAAATCAGTGAATTAAACAATTATAATATTAGAGAGGTTGAGGCTGAGGTTTAAAATGTGAAAACGTGTACATCGGACGTTTAGCGCCGCTTTCCTGTAAGCCTAGAAGTTTGACAATGGTGTTTGGATAGTCAGTGGAAACATGCTTGACATTCCAAACACTATTGTCAAACTTCTAGGCTTATAGGAAAGCAGCGTTGAATGCCCGGCATACATGCTTTCACGTTTAAAACTTCGGCCTCAACCTTGTTATTAAATATATATTACATAAGCTGTACTAAAATTTATATTTTGTTCCATTTGAAATGGAGAATTGTCAAGTAAATATGAATCATCTTAAATAATAACAGTTAATTTACTACTTTTTAATAATCTTAATAATAATAATTTATATAAATATGTTCACATATATATTTGACATTTAAATTCAATATGGTATCTATTCACATTTATTTATGCACTCATGTTTATCATATTGTAATCAATCTTTTACCTGTTTTGATATTTTAAGTTTGTAGTGTAAAACAAAAGAAAATTAAGACAAAATTTAAAAACTAAATCTATAGCAAATTACATATTTTTATGTTCTCTTCATATGCCATATCAGGTCACCCCAATGTCAGCGAACACCCGGTGCAGGTTAGCATGGATTAGTTTGTGCACCAAGTGATGTCCTGGGGGAAGTTAGTACCAGAATGGTTCCCCCATTGCCTTCTCTAGATATTCAACGTTTTCTTGAAATCCAAAACCAGCATCTCATCAATGTGTTTTTAATTAATGTTATTTGTTCCACCTTCTTACAACTGCACTTGCTTATAATATTTGTAATTATCATTTTCTTGTAAGACAAAACCAGTCAGTCCTATCTATGTATTTTATATTGTATTTGTGTAACTTGTAAATTTTCTTGTTTTATTAGTAAATGTGTCACAGGTGATTGTAAGCCCTTCCCAAACCTTTCCATTTTTTCTACCTTTTCTCTCCCTTCTCACTTCAATTTCCTAATCTACTACTACTACTACTTTTTTACCTTTTTATTATACAAGTACTCAGGGCTAATAAAGTCAGACAGCTCTCTGACACTATATTAAAAGAAAGAAAAAAAAAAAAAAAAAAAAAAAAGAACATTAAAGATGTGGTGAAGAGGCGACAGAATTCAGGGACAAAAACTTTTTGAGGCTTCTCAGAACCTCCTGTCGCATGGTGTATCTTTGGGTGGGCTACTACAATGTCGCGAGGTTTTTTTTTTGTGTGTATTGTTTTATATTATTCTTGTAATTTGTAAATGTTTTATCATTTCTTATTTGTTAATCTTAATTTTATTTTTTTCTATATAATATTTCAATTATATTTATTCAC